TGACTCTACAAAAAAGTTTAGCCGCTTTATTTTTAGACCTTTTATTTTAACCAAAGTTATTTGAAACCCCACACATTTTACTTGAATTTAATATTCTTAGGTGTAGTTATTTCTGAAAATGTACATTTATCAAACAACAAAATCAGAAATTAATTCTTGATGCTTTATATTGTTTACAAAAAAGATTACATAAAATGTAATCAAATACACAATAAAATTACAAACTCCAATAACTAATAATACTGCAAAACATTTTCCATGCCTTACATAAAAGGCGTAAGTTTATTTATAAAAACAAAAAAACAGAATGCCAAGGATTAAAAAACAACATAATTCTGCAACATTAAAAAAGTAGGTCTTAAAAGTGAATCATGTAACTGACTTTTTTATTTTATCATTATAATTTTTTAAGTAAATAACCTATTCAAAGGTTAGCTAATGGTTAGCTTCTGAAAAAGAGTGCAAATATTGGCCTCTGTTGGGCTTTAAAAATATTACCCATACCACATATCATCTGTAGGGCAGTGGGACAATTAATGTAATCCATCTCATTTACATTATAATGAGTTAAACTGAACATTTAAAGCTGTTCAGAAGTTCACTGTATCTTTGAGAAGTACTTTGATTAGTGGCATGTTATTGAATAAAGAAGATTTTATGGATCTCCTCCTCAAAGATTTTCTTCATTTTGGTGCCCAACTGACCAAACTTATCGCCTACAGAGAGCAAGAGAGAACAAAGCACAAACCAGGCAAAACATTAAAAAACAAACTTCAGCTCATCATGTTATTTGTCCAATTATCATTGGAAATGCACAAGATGCAGATATAAATATGAATTAAAAGTTTTTCTGGTGATATATTTATTATGTCTCATGTGTTTCAATGAATCTTACCCGATTAAATTTCCTGCAGTTGCTGAAAATGAGCTGGATGTCAGAGACAAACTCTCCAACCTTCTGATACTTCTTACTTTCCAACTTCATTTTTATTCTGTCCAGCCACAGTGGTTGAGATATTAACTCAGAGTATCTGTTCACCTGGAGGGACATTAAATTATTTTGTCAAATTACTTACCTTATTTAAAAAAGTTTATGTGCATTTAATAAAACTAAATTCTTTGATAATGATTAGTGACAACATGTGCATGCAGGTTGTTGAGGGACCAAAAGTAATTGGACAGAATAATAATCATAAATCAAACTTTCACTTTTTAATACTTGATTGCAAATCCTTTGCAGTCAATTACAGCCTTGAAGTCTGGAACACATAGACATTAGACGCTGGGTTTCATTTCTGGTGGTGCTTTGCCCTCTGAACCCTCTTTTCACTCAGGTGTAGTCTTCTCTTGATTGCTAACTTTGACACACAAACACCTGTACCTCCTGGAGTGTTTTTGATCTGGCCAACTGTTGTGAAGGATGTTTTTTTCACCAGGGAAAGAATTCTTCAGTCGTCCACCACAGTTGTTTCTGTGGTATTCCGTTTTTTTGGTGTTGCTGAGCTCACTGGTGTTCTTTCTTTTTAAGAATGTTCCAAAAAATTGTTTTGGCCAGGCCTGATGTTTCTGCTATCTCTCTGATGGGTTTGTTTTGTGTTTTAAGCCTAACGATGGCTTGCTTGACTGACAGCAACAGCTCTTTGGATCTAATCTTGAAAGAAACAGATTCTAAATGCAAATAGCACACTTGAAATCAACTCTGAACCTTTTATCTGCTCATAGTTATCGGGATAATAAGGGATTAACAAACACCTGGCGATGGAACAGCTAAGAAGCCAATTGTCCAATTCATTTTGGTCCCTTAACAAGTGGGAAGCACATATGCAAACTGTTGTAATTCCTACAGCGGTTACCCGATTTGGATGTAAATACTCTCAAATTAAAGCTGACAGTCTGCAGTTAAACCACATCTCTGCCTAAAAAAATGCCTGTTTCATTTTAAATCTATTGTGTCAGCCTGATCTCACGAGAAAACGTAAGTATTTTACGTTTCGCCAGTTTAGTGGGTAATTCGTACGAATTCGTACGAGTTCAGTCGTACGAAATGGTACGATTTTAAAAAGGAGGCGTGGCACCTGACCCCACCCCTAACCCCAACCGTCATTGGGGGATAAGCAAATCGTACTAAATTGTACGAATTAGATCGTACGAATTCATACGAATTAGCCGCAAAATGAAAAAGTTACGAATTGCCGTGAGATTGTGTTGATTGTGTTGGTGTATAGAACCAAAAATGTTAGAATTGTGTTGATGTCCAAATATTTATGGACCTAACTATATGTTTTTCCATATTTAATCCATAACCTACAGAAAATAAAAAATATAGTATTTAATAGTTACATTACAAACAACATGCAAATAAAAAGCCATTTTTCCATTGGATTGTGACCCCTGGGGATATTACGCTAGATTAATGACACAGCAGTAGTGTGAGGAGTGTGTCTGGTTGTTCTATCCATGAAATATTCGTCTTCTTGCGGTGGAAAAAGGACAACAGCTGTTGATCCGTTAGAAAATTCATTTAGTTGTCATTTTCCATTTACCGAATGATCTAGGCCAGGGGTCACCAATCTCGATCCTGGAGGGCCGGTGTCCCTGCAGGTTTTAGCTCCAACTTGCCTCAACACATCTGCCTGGGTGTTTCAAGTATACTTAGCAAGACCTTAATTAGCTTGTTCAGGTGTGTTTGATTAGGCTTGGAGCAAAAATCTGCAGGACACCGGCCCTCCAGGAACAAGTTTGGTGACCCCTGATCTAGGCTAAAACGCGACATACAATCGTTTAGAACAATGTACAAAACTATGAAGACTGTTTACATTACAAACGATGCAGATCTGTATGAATAACATAAGCCAGCCATGTATAACAGTTAGCTAACTAAATAGGCTGGTGTTGTATAGTAAATACAGATATTGCTGACCTTAAAAGTAATGTTTGCAAATTTGACCCATATTGCCTACCTGTCAATATCCAGTCTATATGAAGGATTTATATGTTTCAATGTGCAGAATGAGTTGGTATTGTTTCCAAACTCCTGCCTGAATGAATGAAATCTTGCTCAAACCGCGACAATTCGCGGAAGTGATGAAGCGAAAGCGACTGTTACATCTTTTCAAAACTGAGTAGGAATTAAAGTTTGACTCGGTTACTTTAATAAGAATAAGAAGAGTTTATTTCAAAGTACATTCATTTACTTTACATGACACCGCAGTATGCAGGTTCTGGGATATTACCTTGGATAAAAAAAAAGTTTTGTACGTCTTATCAAAAGTGTTGCCATACACATTTCGACATTGACATGTGTATCATACGGTCAACAACCGAGCTGAACAGATGCACACTGTTAGTAATTAATCCTCAAATTAACCTATAGCTAAACTTTTGTTCTTTCTGATGTTTTTAGTAGTTATTCTACTTTTGTTCACCAGTGGGCGCGATTGATCAAATAAAAAAAAAAATTGTAACAGTAAAGCCTAACTTGACGGTATAGTAACCCCAAGGTTTTAAAGGTCACTGTCAACATGCTAAAAAGATGCAGTTCTCTGTTCTGCAAAAGCAAATTAGGGTCACACATTTTATTTTGAGATGGTATGTTTGTTGAATTTAAGTTACATTGCATCCGTATGCTCACTAATTCTCATTAGATTATAAATAGACAGGTAGGTTGGGGTGAGGATTAGGGTAAATTGACATGCACTAAGTTTTCTTTTAGTCTGTTCAATTTGTTGAAGGAGCAGTATAAAAAGATATTAAGCAGACAGTCTACTAATACTCAAATGGACCATTAAAATAAAGTGTTACCCAAATTAGTTCAAAAGGAAAACTTAAATTGACTGCTGCATCTGCTACTGCTAATATGGCAAATCGACCAGGGTCCCCACGGCTATGATAACATTACAGTTAACTACAGTCAAGCATTGCTTTTTGTTGTTGTTGGTTGCTGTTAAAATGTGAAATGTTTAGCTTAATTGTGAGTGAAAAAATATTTGTTTGAATATGCTGTTGTTCTGGCATCTTTAATCTGGGTCAAGGGTATGTAATAGAGTAAACAATAGTGCATTCAGGCCTATTTCGTTAGCTGTCTTGCTACTGGGAGATTAAAGGATTACATATCATGGGAAAATGCCAAATCGCTCATTCATGAGAACATGTATGCCTTCGTCACTGCCACAAATTGTGATCAGGGCAGATTTAACCAATAAGCAAGGTAAGCAGCTGCTTAGGGACACAGGAAATCCCCCCCCCATTATTTAGAAGTATAAATTACAACTATAAACCATGTATAACATCATTTTCTACCATATTTTGTATGGTGAGAGTTAAACAAATACAATTTTAACGTAGTTAAATCTCATTTAGTATACAATCAAATGCAATATTATAATGTAATCTTATGTAATATTATTATTACAAAATAAAATATCCATCGTGGAGCAGTCCAGCAGTCAAATTTATATTAAATTTTTTTTTTTCAGTTGTAAATTAATTTTACATTTAAAAAAAATAATAATTTAAAATGTAAAAAAAGAAAACTGAGTGATATAACAAATAAAAAAGCAATATAAATAAATATTAAATAGAAAGCATGCATTTCAGGACTTGTGAGATTACAAACTTTAGGTTATGAATCGATTAAATACAATATTTTTTAATTTAGTATATGAATGAATGAATTCAAGTTATTTACTGTATAAATTGCAAGTTAACAATAATTGTTTGCTAGTTGCTGATTGAACACTACACATTTGTCACTGTTTATGTCTAAATGTGGTCAAAAGTGAACAACCTCAAAACCTTGACCATTTTTACACCTGTATTTAGCATTGTCAATTCATTATTTGATATGGATAAAATACCTGGTACTAAAAATCTTAATACTAGGTGTAAATCTGAGCTAAACATAATGAATATAATTTTCCACCACCACCATGATTTACAGAGGACACCCACTAAATGTTTATATACAAAAACTTCAGACATAACTACAAGAACCATTGTTGACATATTAAACACACAGAGATGGTCTTACTTTTATTAAAGTACATTATATTAAATATAAACATCATATTAAAGTGTCTGTTTTACTTACAATTAAAAAAAAAGCCTAACATAAAAGCTAACGTAAATTTACCCAACACCAAAATTGGAAACAAATTCCAGATTGTTTACAATGTTTACGATCCTCAGCCAAAATTATTCTCATTTTTTTGTACATGAAAGCATCAAAACAAAACAAAACAACAGAACAGAAGACTAAAAACAAGTAAAATAATTAATAACAAAAGTCAATAAAAATATAGGTTTTTTAGGTCAATCATGGAATTCATTTTACAAATAACCTATTCAATGCTTAACGTATGAGGAAAAAGTGCAAGAATACTTTTTGCATTTATAAAAATGACACCCTTCACCTTAAAGTCAGTAGACAGTAATTAGAATCTATAAGGAGGACAAAAGGCTGATAATACAGACATAATATATGACCATCTGTAACCTATGTTGTAAATAATATATGACTGCATAGAAAAATTGAATTATAAAAAAGGTGTGCAGCGAGAATATTAACCAAAGTATTCATCCTAGGGCAGTGGGATAAGAAATGCAATACATCTCATTTACATTATAATATTCAAAGCTGCTTAGATTTCTCCATCAACTTTGAAAGACAAAAGAAAAAGAGAACCCTTATTGGATAAAGAAGATTTTCTGGATCTCATCCTCAAAGATTTCTTTCAGTTTGGCACCCAACTGGCCAAATTTGTTATCCTTTCGAGAGAAAGAGAAAACAAAATTCAATAATCACGCACAGATAGGTCCATGTATAGATCAAATATTTTGTTGTTGATGTTGATGTCTGTATTATGTTATCATAAAATCTTACCCGATTAAATTTCCTGCAGTTGCTGAAAATGAGCTGAAAGTCAGAGGCAAACTCTCCAAACTTCTGATACATGTTATCTTTCAACTTCTGCTTTATTCTGTTCAGCCACATTGGATCGGATATGAACTCAGAGTATCTTCTCACCTGGGGATACATCAGTTTATTTTGGCAAATTTCTTATGCTATTGTAGAATAATTGAATGCACATTTCATCAACTTTAAATCCACACCTAAATTGACAATTTTACTGTCCACATGGCAGACATGCTTTGTGCCACTTCAAATGCTCCTCAAAACACCCTTAAAGTACCCTCAGCCATACAAGCAGGGGAGGATTCAACCAATAAGCAAGGTAAGCAGCCGCTTATGGCCCTAGGAAATCTGTGGGCCACCCAAAATTAAAACCTCGAAGTATAAATTATTCATTCATTCGTTTTCTTGTTGGCTTAATCCCTTTAATAATCCAGGGTCACCACAGCGGAATGAACCGCCAACTTATCCAGCAAGTTTTTACGCAGCGGATGCCCTTCCAACCGCAATCCATCTCTGGGAAAAAGTATAAATTATACCTATAAATTATATAACATCATTTTCTATCATATTTTATATGATGAGGGTCTAAAAAAATAAGTTTAATGTTTATTACATCACAAATGCACAAATGTGTCCCACCTTCAATCATGGAGCAGTCCAGCAGTCAAATTAGGTAAAGATTTAGTTTTAAAAACAAAACAGTTTATATATCAGTTTTAGTTGTGCATCTATTTTAAGAAAACAAATCATTTAAAATGTATTACAAGATGCTTTACATGTTATTATTTAGCATTAAGACAAAATGTAGAAAAGGAGATTGAGTGATATGAGAATAAAAACCGCTAAATAAATCGATTAAAAATAAATTAAAGTACAAAAGATGCATTTTAGAACTTTCGAGTCCCATGGCTGGAATTGCTTAGGGCCCCCAAATCACTAAATCCGCCCCTGCAGATAGGTGACTTTTTTGAATGTTGTTCTTAGTGACGCATATAATCAAGGCTACATCAAAACTAATCTTATTATTACATTTGAAAACAATTCACAGACTCAAAATAATTCAAAACAATTTAAAATAATTGCATAAGTTTTTCGTATTCATACCCACATTTGAACTTTGAACTAACAAAAATGTTCCACCAAATTCACAAAACATGTGTATGCAAATTAGTTTGTTCCTAAACTCCTTCTGTTAGTAATTTGTATATAAATTGTTCTCAGGGAGAGTCCTCGTGCACACAATTAGTAATTTGCATAAAACACATACGAACAGTTTCTTCCCTCAGGCAATCCATTTTATGAACACTTGACGATAGTAATTGTAAAACATTAAAACTTTTTATACATATATACGCTTATTTATTTAACAACATACTTTACATGCCAATTTGCACATAACAGCTGCACATATAACGTTGTATATAGTAATATACCTGTTTACACACTTGTCAATTTGCATATTTGCCATCACTACTGTTTTTAAAATATACTTGTTATGTTTTTGTCCTGTGACTGTCTCTGTAAAAAAGCTATTTCTGATTCTGATACACATGAATTTGTCCAGAGAAAATGATAAGGAATCAAATTATGATTTAAAAGTGACAATTAAACTAAATTAACTAAACCAAATAAGAAAAACGTTAATGCTAATGAAGGTTTTGATATTGGATGTGGAACATGCATTCAGTTCTGAAAACACGCAAAACAAGCAATTTTGTTTGTTTTAGAAAAGACTCATTTGAAAGGAGCAGAGTGCTGTACGTTTTATGATGCTAGCCTAGACAACCACTGTATCAACAGTCTTGATGCTCAGGTGCTTTTTCTGCAGAGTGCAAAACACTTGACGGCAATAGAAAATTATTTAAAATAGCGCAATGTGATCATATGGAGGTAAATCAGTAACCAACCTCGAGAGCTTGCAAATATAAATGTGAGAACTTGTCATAATATTTGTATGTGAAGGTTGAAATGTACACTCCAACTTTGATGTGATGGCTGAATGTCTTGATTTGCACACACACAATATTCAAAACACTTGTGTAAACAATAGTTATGTATTCGTAAAATGTCATTCGCAAATTCGAAAATGTACAAGTGAATAAACGCTCCGTGCAAGTTAATCTACTGAAAAAAAGTCAACTTCAATCAAAGTCTGACCATTTGTTTCTACATTAGGAGTGGTGGTCTTTCTGCTGATTAAGGGTGTGAACCTAAAATGGTCTCACGGTTTGGTTCAGTTCAGATTATTATGCCATTTGATTCATAACAACATCTCAGTGCATCATGATGCATTGACAAGGCTTTCCATCCACAATTAGATTTTTTCTTTACAGCATAAGAAACAAATTGTACTAAAATCTATAAATATATTTATATATTGTTTTTAATAAAATTTTGTCCTTTAATACAAGCAGTATGAACTGTACATTTAATCCTACCTGCTCAAAGAAAACACTTTTTTAAAAATGTTTTAAACAAAACTCAAATACATGCACAGAAGACATCATGAGCATTTATAGCAAAAAATTATGTAAATATTATCCCACTTGTTTATTGAGCACTGACGAGCGAGTTATACAATGTTTGATTATTGTATTCACCCGCTCAACAGAAAGGGCTGCGATTGGCTCTAATCTGTCAGCGCTGTTTACTGATAAGTAGGGACAGAAAGAACCTGCGGACATTTTTTGCTATTTCTGCTGAGAATTTTGTAAAAAAAATCTGCATATTCATGCGGAATGATTGTAGGAGTATCATAACTAAAAACTAAATATATGAAATAAAAATATACCTTTTTAACTTTTATTTAATGTTTACAATGCAAATCCAATTAGATCCATTCATTTGGTAAACAAAGCAAGTCTCGTCTATAATAAGACTACTAAAAGACTTTTACTTTGACTAATATTACTTTACAAACTGCATTGTAAATAAATCATATGAACATTTTAATATTATTATTATCACAACAATATTAGTGAACTTAATTAAAAACTGGATAAATATAAAGTTACACACATTTACACAAGTAAATACATAGACTGATGGGCTAAAAATCTGCGGAAATCTACGGATTTCTGTGCATGCAGATTCCAAGTGGTCCTACCGATGAGTGACACAGGACAAACAGCTGCAGTAACAGTCTACAGTATATGCGTATAATGCACGGTTATCACAGGTAATCCGTAATTAGAACTCGCACAACAGACACACTCAAGTCTGGATCCACAAGTGAGGAAGGAAGGAGTAAGGAAGAGGAAAAGTTACCTCACAAACATGCCAGCTGGTCAAAAGTGAAAGAAAGACAGAGAGAGGCAGAGATGCAGTTTTACAGCTTTCATTTTCTCTCTAGTAGTGAATTAGCGGATTGTGCGCAGTACCCTCTTCAGTGTCAATAAAAGACTGTCCAGCAAGCTCACAAGCAGTGAATTGAGAACAATTATCTGTTTTTTTTAAGTATTTGGAGAGTTTTGTTTACCCGCCCTCGCTTCCTTCACCCTAGTATTCTATCACGACATAGCGCATAGGAGATAAATGATGTCAGCGTAATAACCGGTTATGATCTCTTACTAAACCGATACCAAATTGTCCACTTTTGCATCGTGGTGCATCGAATAAACAATTAATTTTGACACTCTTATTGCTGATGTCAATTTGATGGCTTCCATAGCAACTGTATATCAATTTTGACCACTCCTTTTTTACTGTTAGTTTGCTATGAAGGAATCATGCACAAAAGAAAGCCCCAACCCCTACTTAATATTCCATTTCAGTTAAGAAAATCAACATACTAAAATAAAAGTCTCAGCAACGTCCAGTTCATGCAGACCCATTTTCACTTATGGAGGCAAGTGATGGAATCATCACACAGGTTTTCATGTTTCCTTAAAATGTCAGCTTCTTTCCAAAACAGTGAAAAGAACAGTGAGCAGACAAAACAAGCGCTGTTTACCCACAAGTGCAGCTAAAATTCTTTTTTAATGTTCTGCTGGAAAGAAAAAGTCACCTAAAGCTTGCATGGCCTAAAGGTGAGTGAATTAAAAGCTAATATTTTATTTTTATTTTTGAGCGAATTTTCCATTTAAACCAGGGTAGAGTCTGATGGCTGTCAATCATTCAACAACTGAAAATAAATTCTGAAAGTGATTCCAGTGATATTGGTATTCTGTGCAAGCTATTACAGTTGTGTGGATTCTCTTATATATTAGAACAATATATTTATAACTAGAATTGTACATTTCCTAAAGAAAATGTGAATGGGGTTTGCGTGGCAAATCGATGGGGTACAAAATGGTACTAAACTTGGCAAAATAGCAATAAATGCGGAGAAATGATTCAATTTATGTGTTTATGTGGTTGCTAGGGTAATGTAAATGGTTGCTAGGGTGTGGCAACGCCTTTGTAGTAGGTGAAGACAACAGAGATTTGATCAACCTGCATCAAAAGAACCCAAACCCTGTCTTTCTACGATATTCCAGTGCTAAAATATGACTTGTTCATGTTGTTTTATGGTTGTTAGGGGGCTTAAAGTGGTTGCTAGGGGGTGTTTACAAATTTGTTATGTCACTAATGAATACCGACTTGATAGGCCGAGTAAAATGAGCCCACTCTCAAGTTTTACGACTTACTAATCTAGATATTGATATCAGCCATTTTGTGTCCATGTTAAGTCAATGGGGATTTTTCGATGTCAGCCATTTTGTGCCAATGACAGCCATTTTGTGGCAATGTTATGTCTATGGAACCATTTTGGGATGCATTTTTGCCTGTAAAGGCAGCACTTTACCACTGTGGACTACATGCTAATCCTGTTAATGATCAGCATGTTGCTAGCATGATGCTAATCGTGTTAGCATCATGCTAGCAACATGCTAATTGAGTTGCTAGCATCATGCTAACATGCTTAACATGTAGCTAGCATGATGCTAAGTGTGTTAGCATCATGCTAGCAACATGCTAATGGAGTTGCTAGCATCATGCTAACAGGATTAGCATGTAGCTAGCATGATGCTAATCGTGTTAACATCATGCTAGCAACAGTGCTAGGGTGCTCTGAGTGGTTGCTAGGTGGTTGCTAAGGTGTTGCTAGGTGGTTGCTAGGTGGTTGCTAAGGTTTTGCTAGGCGATTGCTAGGGTGTCCTGAGTGGTTGCTAAGGTGTTGCTAGGCGGTTGCTAGGCTGTTTTGAGTGGTTGCTAGGTGGTTGCTGAGGTGTTGCTAGGCTGTTGCTAGGGTGTTCTAAGTGGTTGCTAGGCGGTTGCTAAGGTGTTGCTAGGCGGTTGCTAGGGTGTTCTAAGTGGTTGCTAGGGGGTTGCTAAGATGTTGCTAGGCGGTTGCTAAGGTGTCCTAAGTGGTTGCTAGGTGGTTGCTACGGTGTTGCTAGGTGGTTGCTAGGGTATTCTAAGTGGTTGCTAAGGCGTTGCTAGGCGGTTGCTAGGGTGTCCTAAGTGGTTGCTAGGCCCTTACTAAGGCGTTGCTAGGCGGTTGCTAGGTGGTTGCTAGGCGGTTGCTAGGGTAATTTGGGTGGTTGCTATGCAGTTGCTAGGGTACCCTGGGTGGTTACTAGGCAAGCCTCACATACTTGCCTGATGAAATATTTATACTTAGTAAGCATTTCTAGCAAGTTACAGTACATGGCTAGTCAATATTAGCATGTAGCTAGTCACTGCTAGCATGTGTAGCATATAGGAAGTTCCGTTTGCTAGCTTGAGTCAAACGAGTCAATCCCCAAGTCTCTACGATGTTCCGATGCTGAGATATAGCTGTTGATGAACGGTTGCTAGGGTACTCTGTTTTGTTGCTATGGGCGAGGTTACAGAGTGAACTTGAATGTGGTTGGCTGTCTAAGTCAAATTAACCAACCCCCATGTCTCTATGACACTGCTATCTAAAGATATGCATCTAGGCCAGTTATAATGGCAGTCTATGGGATCAGTTTGGGGGCGTGGCTTGTGAGGTTCATTATCATATTGAGATGCTGATTGGTTGTCTGAGTCAGATGAGCCAACCCTTAAGTCTATAGGACACTGTTATGCAAAGTTATGCATGTAGACCAGTTAAAATGGCAGTGAATGGAAGACTTATCAAGGGTATTTAAATGGCTTTGGGGGCGTGGCTTATGAGCTTCATTATCATATTGAAAAGCTGATTGGTTGTCTGAGTCTAATGAGTCGACCCCCAAGTCTGTATGACACTGCTATGCAAAGATATGCATCTAGCCCTATTATAATAGAAGTCTATGGGACCAATTTGGGGGCGTGGCTTGTGAGCTTCATTATAATAATGTGATGCTGATTGGTTGCCTGAGTCAAATGAGCCCACCCCCATGTCTCTATGACACTCCTATGTAATGTTATAGATGTGTGACATTTATAATGGAAGTCAATGGGATCTGCAATGGGACGTCCCACCCCATGTTAAGTCAATGGGGCAGTTATTAAGGGTCTTTAAGTGGTGTGGGGAGGCGTGGCTTGTTAGCTCAAATATCATAATGAGATGCTGATTGGTTGCCTGAGACAAATAAGCCAACCCCCAAGTCAGTATGACACTGTTATGTACTGTGATTGACATATGACATTTATAATGGGAGTCAATGTAATGAATGGGAGTCAATGGGCAATGTAAAGTCAATGGGGACCACTTTGGGACGTCCTAGCACCCCAGGGGAACAACCTATACCCCCTTTCGGGGTATGTTCTCACTTAGGCTGCAACCCCCTACAGATGTTGTGAATCCCATATTTCTATGAAATTCACAATGGACACAGTGATTGGTTAAAGTTCGGCTCCATGTAAAGTCAATGGAGACTTTGGGACGTCCTAGCTCCCCAGGGGTACAACATTTACTGCCTTTCGGGGTGTGGTTTGAAGCCTCCTATAACCCTCTCGAGAAGTCGCGAATCCCATGTCTCTACCAATTTCACTGTTGGCGCTACGGCGATTTCCGGGAATAGTATCTTACGTGTGTCTAGAAAATGAATGGGAGTCAATGGGCCAATGTAAGTCAATGGGGACCACTTCGGGACGTCCTAGAGCCCCAGGGGTGCAACTTATAACCCCTTGCGGGGTATGTTCTCACTTAGGCTGCAACCCCCTACAGATGCTGTGAATCCCATATTTCTATGAAATTCACACTCGGCGCTGTGATTCGTCAAAGTTCGGCTCAATGTTAAGTCTATGGGATTTTTGGACCCCTTATAAAAGTCATAGCACACCATTCCCGATAAGGCCGCACGATTTGAGCCCACTTTCAAGGGTCTGGGACGAAAGCTGCGGGACTACTGTAGTTACGCGCCGAAAAATAGGACGGAAGAAGGAAGAAGAAGAAGAAGAAGAAGAAGAAGGAAGAAGAATAATAAACCACAATAGTAAGAATGGACTTTGCCTATGGCAAACCCCATTAATTATCTTCATAGGTGTGAGTTAATATATTTATTTAATGACTATTTATTAGTTGAAAATCAAATTTTGAGAAATTCTGAACACCTAAAACACTGCAGCATAAACTCACATTTGGGCGTGGATCCTTTACAAACACCTTCTGGATATCTTCATTGTACATACATAACAGCAGGTAGTGGCACTGCTACAGAAGACAAACAACATAAAACACCAATTGAATTAAACACCAAAAGAATTACAACAACATTTAATTCTTTTTCTTCTAAACATACCAAATAGCGTATATATTCAGCAGAATAATACACATAAAACATTTATTAATCTAAAACAACAAAAACTATACTTTAAATAATGTTAGAAACCAGTAGCCATTGACTTCCACTGTAGAACAAAATTATTATGGAAGTCAGTGTCTACCTGTTTTCTGCATTTCCCAGAATATCTGCTGTGTTCAATGAATTAAAGAAACTCAAATAGGTTTGAAACAAGTGAAGAGTGAGCGAATTGTGACAGACCTCATATTTATGACTCTTATGTGTGCACTGGAGGCTGTTCCAACAGTGTGAAATATCTGTAGTTGCCTTATAATAAACTTATTGTGTGTGTGTGTGTGTGTGTGTGTGTGTGTGTGTGTGTGTGTGTGTTTACCAGTCTGCATTGAGATATTGGAACATCAAAAGCTTCTTGTTCAGTCATGTTTCTGGAGGCACACCCTCGTTGACGGGTTCTTAACATGCAAAAGGTACAAATCCACTGCCTACATGAAAACATACAGCATGAAAGTACAGCACAACTCACATGCTTGCTGACTGAATGATTTTATTTTGTAAACCTCTCTCTCGAACACTCACCAGGCCGAGTCTTCTTCATTTACAGCAGGTAGGTGACAGTCTGGATGAAAAGCTCGTGGACATTTATCACAACACACCAGATTCCCCTCAGAGTGACACACATTACACTCATCATCGTTGTTCTGGTCCATCTAGTCATAGAACATGATACAACATGTTATCATTACGCCAACCTGATTTTACCAAGTAGGACATGCTCCTGGATTAACATCTATTTTCATCCTGGAACAATATTTCAATCAGCCAATCAGAATAAAGGTATCTGTTTACCGTTTAAGTTAAATTTAGGCTAACGGTTAGATATTATGCACTTCTACATGATTGTTATCCAACTAATAATCCCCTCTGATTTTGGAAGTAATTTAGTTATGGTTGGGTTTAGAGGCAGGGAATAGGTATGGATCACATTTTTTTAATAAAAATTATGTTGCAGGATCAACATAGATGTTAATCCAGGATGGCATCGTACTAGGCAACATCATGACGTGCTTATCGATATCACTGAATTAAGTCTAAGTGCATTCATACTGTTCTCATGATCTTGCTTTCATCTACAGAAGTGGTTTTCAATTACAGAATTTCTTAAAGACTCAAAATATGTATTGATTTTGTTAGTTTGTTGCACAATGTTAGCCTTTAGGTGAACAATTAAACTGTTTGTTTTGGTAATCTTGAATCTTGAAAGATTAAAAGCTCCCGCTTTGGTATGGCAGTCCTTCTCTGATGATGTCAGATTGTTAGCTTAGCCACACCTCCACACCAACTATCAGTTTGCTGCTAGTAAAAGATGAGAAGAGGAGCACAAAAATAAAACCCCGCTCCCTATTTAGTATTCTACTTCAGTTGGAAATACATCATCATACTGAAATAAGTCTTTAACTTTATTTTAGTTTAGTCTAAATCATTAGTTTAAATTAATTTTAACAAATTCAATAGAAGCAAGGTTTTTTTTTTGTTTTTTGCAACTACTAAATACAATGATTAATTTTTTTATGTTTTAATTAAATGTTTTTCATTTGCAATTGAAGAGTTTATATTAAAGGTGCCCAAAGTTGGCCCATGGTAACCTTTAGTTTGGCCCTCTATTCCATCTGAAAAGAGAGTGAGAATGATGGGGAGTTGGTTGGGGCAAATGCCTTTGAGAGAGATCATTTTGAATTCAACATAAAATTTAGTTTTTGGTTTAATTGAGGAGCTACAAAAAAGTTAAAATTAAATTCATTCATTCATTTTCCTTCCCTCAGTCCCTTTATTAATCCGGGGTTGCCACAGCAAATCGAACCGCCAACTTATCCAGCAAAAGTTTTACACAGTGGATGCCCTTCTAGCTGCAACACAGTACTGTTAAACATTCATACACACACTCATACACTGTGGAAAATTTAGTTTATTTAATTGACCTATACCGCATGTCTTTGGACTGTAGAGGAAACTGTAGTACCTGGAGGAAACCCATGCCAACACAGGGGGAAAAAGCAAACTCCACACAGAAATGCCAACGGGCCCAGCCGGGACACGAACCAGCAATCTTCTTGCTGTGACGTGATAATGCTAACCACTAAGCCACCATGTCGCCAACTAAAATTAAATGTTTCATTGAAATGCTGTAAATGAATCAGACTATTAAAATGTAAATATACTGTCACTTGACTGACAGAGGACAATGCACAAGACATCGGCGAGCAAATCAAGGTAAAGGCGGGAGCAGCTTGACCAGCGTATTCTGCGTATTCTTATGTTTTTGCTATTTATTATAAAATATTAAAATTAATACTGCATAATTTTTATATATGTTTTAAAGCACCGTTTTCTAGTTGTTTTTGAGTCTTAGCAAATAAATTAGGAAGTTATCAATGACAAACTTAACATAATATAATTTGGTATATTAAACTTCAGCCCACAGCCCTTAAACAACTTTGGTTTTGGGCCCCTTTATAAGAAAAGGTTTGGGCACCCTGGTTTAGATGTAAAAACTTTCAAGTGCCATCTGACATTTCCTTCCAAATTTAGCATTTTTCTCAGCCTCCTATGTTTATGTTCAGTTAATTCACTTAAAAAGAAATGAACAGAATCCAGTAATCATCATAAAAATGTAATCACTGAACCTACACTGAGAAAAATACTAATTTTTGAAGAAATTTTCAGATGGCGCTTTTGCATCTTAATGTTTTGTTTTTTTCAAGTTTAGACAACTACATTATAATAACCTGCTATTGCAATGTATTGCGAGATTAATGTAAGGTTTTGTTGTTAGTTTAACTTTATACCATTGATATAATCTTTAAACTAACTGACTGCCAGACAGAGAGGACTCTTACCAGATCATCTGGATTAGTGCTGCACTTCACACATGTACAGTTTTTCGGATGGATGTCCAGGATCTTTTTCTGAAAATGACCAACATTGACCAACATCATTATAATTATGCTCTCTCTCATGTCATTAAATGTTTCTTCAGCTTGTTACCTCGCATAAAAAGTTGAGAGTTTTTCCATGGCACAGTATATCTCTTTTCCAGAGTCCATCAGAGAGAGTTGGTTCCTCCTTTACAAATTCCTCCGGAGTAAACCAGTGTTGCTTGGTCCGTATACTCTTCCCACACCTCCCTGCAATTAAATAAACATGCACTCCTCCCATTCAAACCTCGGGCACAAATCAATAACTGCCTGCTGAGTTGTGTGTGTGCATTTAGCGCAGAAACACACCTGTGGCAAATCTGTCTTTGAACAGAGTCCCAATGAGTGAGACACAGGAGACTGGTAAAGATGGTGCTTGAAAAACAGTCAGATCTACCATCTCATCTTCCTCCTCCCCATAATCATCAACTCCACTTCTAAACTGTGATCTTAGTCCTGCTCTCTTGCTCTGCTTTTGGACGTCTTCCGCCTCACTTTCCTCTTCTGAACTGGCGCTGGTTTCTGAATCTTGAGGAGTAAAACACACGGCTGGTTTCAGAAATCAACAGACAAGGAGTGTGAATGATTGAAAGAAATATCCATGTAGTCACTCTCCAAATATTCTGTTTTGTAACTGTGTCTTATCTTATTGTAAGTTGTCCCTGTACTAGGTGCCTTGACGTTGCGCCTTGACATTCTTGAGCACTGGATAAAATTGTTCTGCCTAACTGAGCTGAATATTTGCACGTATTCATAGCCCATGTAACCCTGAGTATGATGTATAAAAGCTGGGAATACCCCAGACTTCTTTAGAAGAGAGCAATAAACTGTTGGATTCACATCTCTCAGTTGTTGTTGCCTTCCTGGAGCTCCAGCTTACTGAGGAAACACACAGACGATCTGCAATTTATCCCAACAATGATGTAATGATGGATGATTCTGCCTCACCTGTACTGGAGCTCTCAGATGAGCTAATAGAAATGTTTTTCTTGCTCTACAGGATTAAAACACAGTGTTTTGATGAATGTCCAAAATAAAAAAGAGGAGCAACAAACCAAATAGAGGGAGGAATCATACTTTTCGGACAGATGTTCTATCTCTGTTCTTCATCGGTGGACACTGAAGATGATTCTCCTAAAAGAATGAGAAGGGAACAGCTGTCAGATCATCTGTGTGTTTAAAAGTATGTGCTTCTTTGAATGTAACTCCATTTGTGTGTAAAAGTCAGGACAAACTATTGAATTTAAAGTGTAAGAAATAATGTCACTTGTTTTTGCACAATACTACTGTTCCATTCTCTTTTAATGGGTGTACAGGTTGCTCCCCCTCGGAGCTTCATGGGATGTAGGAAAAGGGGTACAGTAAATATGCATTCAGGAGGAAAACATATTAACACTATTGAATTTTATGATTTTTTTTTATTTGCATCAGGTCTTCAGTAGTCTTCTGTGGCACTGACTCTTTTTACCTTTATTAAGTCACACTTTATTTTGATGGTCCGTTTGTTGAAGTTAAGTTACACTGCATCTACATGCCAACTAATTCTCATTAGATTATAAACAGACTGTTAGGTTGGGGTTAGGGCTATAGTCAGCTAAATGTCTGTTGAAAAAGCAGTTTCAACATTTTAAGCAGACAGTCTATATCCTCAAATAGACCATCAAAATAAAGTGTTACCCTTTATTATAATAAGACAGTGGCTAGCCAGGAAGCAAAATTGGAAAAGGTGCAATTTACTTCACATCAAGTGGTGAATATACACATTAGATTTTCAAATAACAACAGTTCTTATTTACTTAAATACTCCCAGGGCCATTTATATCAAAGTTGATATTTAGCTGCACCGTATTTGTGTTTTGTGAGTTTGTTTTTATGAGGTGGGTTGTTAGCCCAACACTCAATCCCCAACATGGAGGACCAGGAAATACACACATACACTACAAACAGTTTGGTCAAGCACCCAGAGGAAACCCACGCCAACACGGGGAGAACATGCAGACTCCACACAGAAATACCAACTGATCAAGTCAGGGCTCAGACCAGCAACCTTCTTGCAGTGAGGCGACAGCGCTACCCACTGCGCCACCGTGTTGCCTAACAATAACTCTAGAAAGTTCAATTGTTTGTGTGAACTATACACTTATGTATGTTCATACTCAGTGCTGCTCTAACAATTGTATATATTTAATATAATTACACCTAAAGTAACATAAAAGTTGCCTTACATGCAATTATCTACCCCATGTCTAATAAAAAAAAAATCTAAATATATATATATATATATATATATGAAATAAAAAATGTTTAAAAAAGTATATTAATTTTATATACAGTTAAAGTTAGAATTATTAACCCCCTTTGAGTTTTGTTGTCTTTTTAAAATATTTCTCAAATGATGTTTAACAGAGCAAGGAAATTCTCACAGTATGTCTTATAATATTTTTTTTTTCTAGAGAAAGTTTTATTTGTTTAATTTTGGCAAGAATAAAAACTGTTTTTAATTGTTTAAAAACAATTTTGAGGTCAAAATGATTAGCCCCTTTAAGCTATATTTTATTGTTATTAACATTGTTGTACAATAACTTGCCTAATTACCATACAATGCCTAGTTAACCTAATTTACCGTTAAGCCTTTAAATGTCACTTTAAGCTGTATAGAATTGTCTTGAAAAATATCTAGTAAAATATTATTTACTGTCATCATGGCAAAGATAAAATAAATCAGGTATTAGAAATGAGTTAATAAAAATATTATGTTTAAAAATGGGTTGAAAAAATCTCTGTTAAACAAAAATTAGGGTTAAAATAAAGAAGGGAGCTAATAATTCAGGGGGGCTAATAATTCTGACTTCAACTGTATAACAAAAATACAATAATAAATAACAAAAATATTCTCTCATAATGATATTTCAGTATAGTATATTTCAGTATATTTTAGTATTAAGCCACATTAACCCTGAATTACATATGTATGAATATAAAATATAGGTATAGTCTTAAATATGATACACACTAAGCCAATTGTTTTTTTTTTCTGGCTAATTTAACATTAATTATAAATTGACTAGGGCGACGCATTGGCGCAGTAGGTAGTGCTGTCGCCTCACAGCAAGAAGGTCGCTGGTTTGAGCCTTGGCTGGGTCAGTTGGGGTTTCTGTGTGGAGTTTGCATGTTCTCCCTGCGTTCGTGTGGGTTTCCTCCGGGTGCTTCAGTTTCCCCCACAACCAAGGACATGCAGTACAGGTGAATTGGGTAGGCTAAATTGTCCATAGTGTATTTATGTGTGCGAATGTGTGTGTATGGGTTTCCCAGTGATGGGTTGCGGCTGGAAGGGCATCCACTGCGTAAAACATAAGCTGGATAAGTTGGCAGTTAAATCCGCTGTGGTGACCCCAGATTAAAACAAGTGATTAAGCCGAAAAGAAAATGAATGAATGAATATAAACTGATAAAAAACCTAGCAAAATATTCTACAACAGACCCAATCTACATATGTATATTTTATATAGATAAACAATTTATCAAGAAACATTCATTTAAATAAAAAAAAAATCTTCATTAAAAGTATTAGTGCACTATATAGACGATTGCAAGCACAATAACCCAGGAAAAGACAATCCCATGTTTTCTCAGTCTGTAAGTGTCTGAATGATTTACCTCAATGAGTTTTTTAAGTGGTGTGCCATCACAGCGGATGCTGGCTTTCCAGTTTCTGCTACTTTCCTTCCCTGCAAACTTCTCAAATTCACTTGGGGAGAACCAGCGTCCCTGAGCCCCTTCTCTGATACACTTCTCTCCTATGGAATAAATGAAGAGCATGCACAATTTCAGATCTTTTAAAATTATGATAAACACATCGTTATAAAATGTGTAGCAAATAGAGCAAAAACACAATGATGTTGAACCCTTGGCCAGTTTGTCTCGATAGAGAATGCCCTCTTTATCCCCACACTTTACAGGCAGCTGAGTTTTATATCTAGAAAGCATCCAAATCCTCTCTTTGCTTCCTTTCTCATGAGGTGCTGAAAAAGAAAGAGACAGAGGAGACAGATTAAAAATAAAAAATGCTTCTCCCACAGAATAGTACACTTACAAAGGCAATTGTGACTTTTTATCTCACACTCCAGACTTTTTCCTTGAGATCAAAAAGTCAGAATTGATAAAAAGTCACCATTACACTACTTTGTTCAAAAAACAAACTTCCATTAGCTTTTTTGTTTCCATAAATAAGAATTGTAATGGCAAATTATTTTCTTCCTGTTTATAAGGAATACATTTTAATGTGAAGACTGAAATTGAATAAAGTCAGACAAGTTTGTCTTTTAATTGCTTTAATTAAAGCGCTTTGGTGGATTTGCTCTTAAGTGTTTGAATTTGAGCAGTGAAATTTAAACTACACTGAACTGAACTAAACTGAACTTCAACTCTGAAATATGGACTTTACTAGAACTATGTTAAGCTGCTTTGATGCAATTTACAATGTAAAAAGTGCTTTATAAATAAACATGAATTGAATTAAATTAATTCTCCAGGGAATGATCAGTTTACACACAGACAGCCTCTGTGAGCAAACAGATCCCAAGGATGGGCTCAAGGGCATTTTTAAAGACAATGTTACGATATTTTGGATAATAATTTCACTACAGCTCCTTAACTTTTAAACAACTTAAACAACCAGTAGATTACAGATGACTGTAATAGCCCTATGAATATAATGCATTTGATATTTACTTTACCAAAGCATTAATCAATTTATAATATCAATATATAATTATCAATCATCAATATGTGATCCTCAATAATAAATTTTTCCAGTACAGTATCATCTAAGAACAGGCTAACAAGCTTCATCAAACACAAAGAAACCTTTGAGAGCTTAAAATACTCACAGAATGAGGGTTTCTTGGCTGAAGAACCCGGATCATCACTTCTGTCATTTCTCTTTCTGTTGTATGTCCCGTTCTTCTCCTTTTGTCCACTATTTTCTGTCAGTGTCTCAATGCCTATACGTTCCTCAGAGAATTTGGTTACTGGACCAAAGAAAAAAGGCAAAAAATAAAATCTTGATCCATCATATTGTAAAAATGCAGAATGAGCCTCTAAATTTCATAGCAATGGACTTCAGCTACCGGTTTCTGGCAGGCTTTTCCTGAGCAGGTGTAGCGTGGGGTACTTCTGCACGATATGATCTTCAAACACACATCGCCAGAAACGCCGAATGTCCTGAGATCTCTCTCTCTCCAGCCACTCCAGAACATCATAGACTCCTTGCTGCCTCTGCTCTCGAGTGCGCATCCCTTTCACCTTCTACAGACAAACACGGGGAGATTGGCATGAGCAGAGTTTATAACATGCTAGCAATGACATTTCTGCATTATTGGTAGCTTCAGATGGTAATATCATGGTATTTTACAAATTTGGCTAATGTTTCAGTCTTATGCTCACTATCTGAACAGACTTTTTGAAGAGTATTTAAGATACAAACATGATAGAGCTGTTGTACGTGTCCAAAAACAAGGAGGGTAAAACTAAAAACTTTACTATGGTTGAGTGTACAAAATGTATTAATTTCCAATAAAACACTGGCATTGCCAGTTATATGATTAGAAATATATTTTTAATAAGTTAACTATGGCAGTGGAAAAGTTTATGGCAGCAAATGAATTATGGTGCATACTGATCTGAAACATGATACTGAAATTCCACTTTTAAAAATAGTTAACAAAATGGTATTTTCACAGTACATGTCCCAATAAAACAGATTTACCTGTAGCTAAATGTCCAAAAATGGTATTATTATGGTCCAGTTTTCCAAAACTACTGATATTACCATGGTATATGTCTAACAATATGATATTAATGAGATAACTATAGAATTAGAGATAAAGTTAGAGATAAAAATGCACATTTGCAAGAAATAAAAATAAATATTTTGCAATCTACTGTTCAAAAACATGGCACTGCTAATGTCCTTCCAAGATATAATATTATAGCCTGCCCTGCACAATAACAAACACACAGTAAAGTGTTGACATGATACATAATATTACTCAATAGTCCAAAAATTGAAAAGTTTAGATGCAAAAAAATCAGAAAGCTTCCTTTTAAATTAGATTTTTTTTATCATTAGTAGCCTTTAAAGTAAAATATCTTAACAAAGGAAGCTAAGAAAAATGTTAATTTTTAATGGAAATTTCAGGCGGCACTTCAGGTTTTTGCATCTGAACTCTTCAATTATTATTATTATGGTGCAATGGCCAAAAACTTGAATTTTTTATATTTAGTTTCATATAGTTCTCCAATTTTTTATTTTAATACTGCTGTCCATAAAAATAAATAATTTTGGTACCCTTTCCAAACAAACAGAAAATTACATTAATTCACTATAATCATAGACTAATTCTACAAACAGTATTTGTAGAAAAAAAAACTGTAGTAGCTTAGTCAGTACACGAAACAAATTTGTTACTACACTTTTATTTTATCGAATAAAACCATTGTTAATTTCTGTAATGTGTTTCTGTGTGTGTTATTGCCTTGAAACGCGTCTCCGGCAACAGGTTGTGGTCTCTCAGTTGTGTGAGGAAGATGAGCGGTTGTTCTATGCACGAAATTTCCGTCTTCTTGAGGTGGAAGACAGACAGCAACTGCTCATCAGTAAGAAAGTCCATCTGCCCGTTGAATTCCATAAACTGATCTATAATGCCACACAAAACTGTTTTACAACCGCGTGTATATTGTTTACAATACAACAGAAACAGTTCTGTATGAAATCTGCATTTATACATACGAACCAACATTTCTCACTCTGTTTGGTGTTAAAAGCAATTTGGTTTGATTCGCTTACCTGTCAATAAGCTGTATGGAGTTGTGTATCTTTGGCTTGACACGAGCTGTGCAGAATAGGTTGTTGTTTCCAAATCTCCCGCCTGAATTAAACAAAGCTTCCACACAACGGGACGCGTAGGCTCACTGATAAAACGAAAGCGAATGTAACCTTTCAAAGTTGTGTAGGTGTTGCTACTGAGTGAGCATATATACAATTATAGCTAACTTGAACATATGTAGATATTTGTAATTCTGGTTGAAATAATATGTCAATCAGAAAAGGTTTTTGAAATATGTTGAAGATGCCACTTATTTAAAAAAAAAAAAAAAAAAAAAACTGAAATCCAAACCGTGTCAAATGTGACTATTGCCATTAGATTTCTGTAGTCACATTTATAAAAGTCTACAAGTTTGATTTTGTAATTAACACCATATTGTAATTATAATTTAAAATAAGGGATTTTAAAGCAACCACATTTTCATTCTTTAATTTTTCTTCGGCTTAGTCCCTTATTTAGGTTGCCACAGCGGAATGAACAGCCAACTATTCCAGCATGCTTTACACAGCGGATGCCAGTTCCAGCTGCAACCCAATACTGAGAAAGCAACCACATTTTAATGAATGCAAATTAATTGTTATTAATCACTGCTAAACTTTATTTAAGATGCGTTTGTTCAATTTATTTCCACCAGAGGTGTTAAAAAACCTGAAGTACAGAGCAGTACATCCTACAGTGAATTTATTCATATTCACCGCGACACAGTATACTTTATAGAGGACAAATAAATTGTGTTTATATACGAAGAGTTCAGATGCAAAAACCTCTAAATGCCATCTCAAGTGTTCTTCCAAAATGAGCATTTTTATCAGGCTCCATGTGTAGGTTCAGTAATTTTACTTTTGTGGCAAAAAAATAAGTTATTTTCAAGGTCTTTAAAGCAAAATAAATCAACACAAACAAAGCAGGCAGAGAGAAATGTTCATTTTCACCTGAAATTCCAGATGGCATTTAAGAGGTATTTGCATATACCGTTTATATACTGTATAACTGTTCATTTTAGGTCAGGTTTGAAGTTAAATTATGAAATGATTACAATAAAATGTATGGTAAAGTTATGTTCATTGTGTACAGTTTATTTATTAAATGATTTCTTAATCTTAAAGACAAGTCATTTAAGCCATTATGTTATTGTCAATACCTTTTATATAGAATTTAATAGCACAAATATGTCAGTATATTACTAATGGTATACTACCATAATTTAATAACAATAGCTGTAAATCTATATTACATCACAGCAAGTGATTTACAATAAAGTCATCGTTTACTCACCCTCATCCTTGTTGTTTTCTTTCTTCTAACCCAAAAGTAGAATTTTATGTAAAAGACTCAACATTCCTTTCTGTAAAGCTGAAAATACCTCAAGAATTAATTGAATTGAATTCTTTTAAAACAACAACACACATGGAAAATCATCAATTTGTTTTACAACAAATCACATGATAATGTAAATAATTCATATAGTACGGTACTCATGTTCTCTCGTGTCATAAAATGGGTCTCCAAAGAATTTTCCTTCCACTCTCTCTTCTCTTTATCCTGTAAAGCTCAAAGCACCAAACTTATTAAAACATGAGATTTTATATTATACATTTGTTTGGCGTCATTTGAATTATTTGCAAAGTGTATGGTTATATTAAAGAGTCTTTTATAAAAATTCATTTCCTCGAAAAGGTGTGAAGCTCCAGGTTTGGGTTTCTGTTAAATGCAAACTTGAAAAGGAAGTTATTTGGAGATAGGACTGTGCATTTAAAGGTATAGTTACCTTCATCTAAAAATCAGACACTGCAGAGGCCTGAAAGAGTTTGGTTTATTCTGTCGACATGTTGCAAAAGTTCTGCAGGTTGGGATGCGAACTCAGACTTGGATTGACTGCTGCTCCTGCATTAACATTACACATTTTACATGCATTTAATATGCTTTCGCTACATAAAATGACTTTATTGTTTTGATTCTACCAAACAACAAACCTGGATGTTTGAAGTGTATATCTGAATTCATAATGCTTGACAACAATGGTCTCAAACTCAATTCCTGGAGGGCCACAGCTCTGCAGATTTTAGCTCCAACCAGCTCCAAATCACACCTACTTAATAGTCGCTAGTAGTCTTGAACACCTTGATTAGTTGGATCAGCTGTATTTGATTAGGTTTGGAGCAAAACTGCGGAGCTGCAGCCCTCCAGACAAGTTTGAGACTGAGCTTTATAACAAGGATGGGCAAACTCCATCCTGGAGGACAGGTGTCCTGCAAAGTTTCGCTCTAACACTAATCAGTGTCTTTAAAATCAGTTACAGGCAGGTACAGTATGTTTGATCAGGGTTGCAGAAAACTATGTAGGATACTGACCCTCCAGAATCAAGTGTGCCCATTCCTGCTTTACAAAGGACATGAAAAATAAAAAAATACATGAAACAACAACCTTTGCAAAGAAATGACATTAAACTACAAACTACTATAACTTAATTATTATTTTTTGTTTTATAAAAATGGCATTACAAAAAGATGTACAGCATGAAGAGCAACCAAGGGATCCATTTATCCAAGCCACATTTTATTTGACGCCATAATAATGTAATCCAAATCCATCCTAATTATTGAAAAAGTGACATCCCCTTGATGACACACATGATTTTGTTTGTATATATGGAAATTAAAACGGTAATAACACTGCAGATTTCCTATGTGAATTTTCTGGATCTCCTCCTCAAAGATTTTCCTCAGTCTGCTGTCATATTGGCCAAACTTATTGTCCTTCAGAGAGAACAATCAAACTTTTTTAGTGATGTATTTATTATGATTAATGGGTTTAAATGAATCTTACCCCATTACATGTCCTTCAGGTGATAAAATGACAAACTCTCCAAATGTCTGATATTTGTTATATTCCAACTTTAGCTTTATTCTGTTCAGCCACATCGGCTGAGATATGAACTCAGAGTATCTGCCACCTGGAGGTACAATTGTTTAGTACGCAGGCATGCAGTTTGCCACTCCAAATGCTCCTTAAAACACTTAATGTGATACCCTCAGCCATACAAGATGTAGGTGACTTATTTGAAAACTTTAAGTTTTTAGCTGAAGCTTTGGTTCATGGTGACTCAAAGCTCAATGCTATACCTACATTAATCCGAATATATTTGAAAACATGAAATAATTGTGCCTAAAGTGAGTTTATGTCTGTGCGTGTTTACCAGTATGTTTTGTGATACTGGAGCAAAAGCTTCCTGTTGCCTCCTGGTCAAATAAACGTCTTCAGAACTGATGAATCACAATCCATTTATTGTTTATTTGCTTAATGCAGCACACAACAAAGCATCATGAAGCACAATATGAACTAATGAAAAGAAAACAAATCTTGAAAATATGCTGTTATGGTCCTCAAACATGGTTTGAACTAGTTTTGTTCAACAAAATCAAATAATATACACATAAACATATCAAAAATATCATATTAAAATAATTAAAATCTATGAACAATAAAGTAGCATGTCTCTTCAGGTTACACTTCTTGTTCAGTCGTGTTGCTGGAGCTCTGTAATTGTTGCTTTTTTCTTATCATGCAAAAGGTGCAAATCCATTCCCTGTGTTAGAACAAACAGATGAATGAATTTACAGTACAACACATGCTTTGCGGTCTTAACGATTTTATTTAGAGAATCTGTTTCTTTCTCACCCAGATGCATCTTTGGGTACAGGTGGTAGGTGACAGTATTCATGAAAAGCTCGTGGACATTCATCGCAACACACCAGATCTCCCTCAGAGTGACACGCAAAACACACATCATCGTTGTTCTGGTCTGCCTAGTTATAGAACGCGATACAACATATTAGCTCAAGTGCATTTTGCTGTTCTCATCTACAAAAGTGGTTTTCAATTACAGGGCCGGGGGCCCAACAGGGCTTCAGCACAATTTAAAGAAAGCTTCAACCCAAAAATGGAAAAACGGAACGTTCTGTCATTAATTACCCACTCTAATATTGTGCCATACTTCTGGGACCTTCGTTCATCTTCTGAAAACAAATTTATATATTTTGAATGAAATACAAGAGCTCTGTGATCTTCCACCCTCTCTGATGTTTAATTTCCAGATACCAAAGATACCAAGAACATCCTCAAACTATTCATGTGTCTTCAGTGGTCCAATCATAATGTTATAAAGCTACGGGAAAACATGTGTGTGGACAAAGGTCAATGTGTATCCTATCAACATGCAGCGTAACAAGATTTCAAAGACAAGCACTTTGGCTGTTTGCACCAAATGTGATGTGACACGACAGAACATTTAAACACCAGCCACTGCACTACCAATGAAATGCTAAAGACTTTTAATGTAATTAATACATATTAAACCTCTTTAACATTTTTAACAGGTTACTGAGTGACTGATGTTGTTGGTTTGCACTGAGCTCTTTCTGCTAGTTATTTTATTTCAAGATCTGAAGTGAAATATCTGCTGCTGCTTTCAGTAGTATGGCAATAAATGTCAAGTAAAATAGTGTTCAAACTCACATTGGGAACATTTAACACTGAATAAAGCTGCTGCTCCATTGCATAATTTAAAAGGCTTTCTTAAATCATCATTTTGGGCATCGCAGATAATTAGGCCAAAAACACCTTTGAACGCGGAAAAGATACCTTTAATCGCGTGTCGTTGCACCATGTTGCATGTACTTAGGACATAGTGTTACTATCAAAGCACCTTATGGCAATCATGTCAGCACTGGTGCTGCAGCTCCTTTTAATCTAGTGTGTGTTTTAAGATTGATAGATTCTTACCAGGTCTTTTGGATCAGTGCTGCATTTCCCACATTCACACAGAACAGAATGAATCTGCAGGATCTTTTTCTGCAAATGACCAACATTAACAAGCATTATAATCATAATGTATCTCTTTTATTAAACTGTATACTGTATCATTACACTTGTATCGTTCTCTCCCGCTGGTTACCTCGCATAAAAAGTTGAGAGTTTTTCCATGACACCGTATGTCTTTTTTCCAGAATCCATCAGAGAGAGTCGGTTCCTCCTTTACAAATTCCTCTGGAGTAAACCAGCGTTCCTCAGTTCGTATACTCTTTCCACGCTTCCCTGCAACGTATAATAAACATACACTCGTCCCATTTAAACCTCTGACACAAACAAGACAACTGCATGCTCAGTTGTGTGTGAGCATTCAGTGCAAAAAACACACCTGTGGCAAACCGTTTTTTGTACAGAGTCCCAGTGAGTGAGACACAGGTGACTCGTAAAGAATGAGCCTGGAAAACAGTCAGATCTACCATCTCATCTTCCTCCTCATCATCATCAACTCTACTTCTGAACTGTGATCCTCCTCCTGAAAAGTACGGTCTTGAGTCTTGAGAAATAAATGACACAAATACATTCAGACATTAATAAACAAATGACATTACTTTTTTTACTGTTTTGCTACAGTTATGCCTTCCATCCAAACTACCAGAGTTTTCGAGCCCCAAAAACGAAGCGTTTTGAAAATGCTCCTCCGTGTCAGTGCGGACAAATGGAGACATCTGAAAACAGAGGCGGCGAGGCAGTGGCGCAGTAGGTTGTTCTGTCGCCTCACAGCAAGAAGGTCTCTGGGTTGCTGGTTCGAACCTCGACTCAGTTGGCGTTTCTGTGTGAAGTTTGCATGTTCTCCCTGCCTTCGCGTGGGTTTCCTCCGGGTGCTCCGGTTTCCCCCACAGTCCAAAGACATGCGGTACAGGGGAACTGGGTAGGCTAAATTGTCCGTACTGTATGAGTGTGTGTGTGAAAGTGTGTGTGGATGTTTCCCAGAGATGGGTTGCAGCTGGAAAGGCATCTGCTGCGTAAAAACTTGCTGAAAAAGTTGGCGGTTCATTCCGCTGTGGTGACCCCGAATTAATAAAGGGACTAAGCCGACAAGAAAATGATTGAATGAATGAATGAAAACAGAGGTGTGGCTGCAGACATTCACATTACCTGATTAGGGCTTTTTTTAATATCAAGTACACAAACTTCAGACTTTGCAAGCCCCATATAGAGTTTAAATCAAACTCCAGAGGACATGAGGACAAAAGTAAATCTTCAAATGAAACAGCAGTGTACTTTTATAATGTCATTCACCCTGGCTAATCCTAACAATAAAATGAAAAAATTACATTAAGCAATGTGCCTAATATCAGGCTATATGCACACAATAAAGAGTATCAGAGGAAATGCATAGTGAAATACAAAAGAGCCGTCTCTTTTGCTGAATATAATAACCAGCTATAATTTTAATAACCAATAGTAATTACAATAATAAGTATAAAGTACAATAAGTTTATAAAATATAATAAATAAAGGGAAGCAATGCGTCAAATGCACAGAGTCAGTGTATATGGTTACATAAATTAATAGGTAAGTTATATTACTTATCTTTGCGCTCAGCCAAAACATGTTACCTAAGAAAAAAGTAAGCTAAAAGATTTAAAAAACCGACCCGTTGAATATAGGTCTATTACACAAGATAAATTATACATCACATTTAACAACTATAGTGAGATGAGACCCAGCGGCAGATATGGGATGGACAGGCCGATGTTCGGCTGCTCTCAGCCAGGCAGGTTTGTTGATTCGGTGATTAAAGCTAGCTTTTTTGAGCTTTGTCTTAATTTTAAAGTCAAGCCCTTCCTGAGCAAGGCTGATCTTGAGAAAGCCATCCATGCTTCTGCAAGTTCGCATTTGGACTACTGTAATGCACTTTATGTTGCAGTTAATCAGTCATGTCTTCACCGTTTGCAGTTGTGCGAAATGCTGCAGCTCGCATGTTAACTAACAGTCGGAAAAGTGAACACATTACACCAATTCTCTACTCCCTCCACTGTTAAGTTCAGAATCGATTTTAAACTTTTGATACTTGTTTTTAATGGTGTTAATGGCCTTGCTTCTAATTATTTATGCAAAATTTTGCATTCACAAACCCAGCAGAGCTTTGCAATCTGCTGACCAACTTCTGCTTGAAGTCCTTTGTTCAAGATACAAGCAGTGGGGTGACCACTCTTTTGCAGTGGCAGGTCCTAAACGCTGGAATACCCTTCCTACTGAGCTTCATACAATCACTAACCTGCCACTTTTTATAGCCAAGCTTAAGACCCACTTGTTTAAATTGGATTTTAATGCATAGCACTGTCACACTTTTTTTAATGTTTGTTGGATTTTATTGAAATTTTTTATATTGTTTTGCATCGTCTCCTTTTCTGTTGTGTTGTATAAATTGCTTTTACTTGTGTATAGCACTTTGGTCAACCTTGGTTGTAGTAAAGTGCTATATAAATAAAAGTTGATTAAAAGGTGAATGATGGAGACTCAGCCTTACCTGGACTGGAGTCCTCAGATGAACTGATCACAATCTGTACTTTCTTGCTCTGCATGGATTGAAGAGAGTGTTTTGATGAATGTCAAAGAAGAAAACAAAGGAACATCAAAACAAACAGAGAGAAAGTACTTTTCGGACAGAGGTCCCCTGCTTTCTCTGCATCGGTTTACACTGAAGAAGATTCGCCTGAAAGAATAAGAAGGGAAGTGGTGTCATATCATTCAGTTATGAGGAGCATGGAATGACAGGAAATATCAACTTCAGCTCCACCACTCATGGAAATGTTGTAATGAGAATCAGAAAACATGTTTGTGAATAAGGTAAATCATCATACATTTTCAATTTCAATGTTGAAATTGTGATGCGAGGTTAAACAGCAAATTGTTAGTTATAAATATTACTGCATGTGCGTAATTGACCCTTCGCTAAGCCCGCCCTCCTTAGTTACTGCTGTTGAGATATCGGAGAAAGCCAGACAAAAAAGGAGTGCAGTATGCATTACAGGGGTATATTCACCACATAATAGCAACTGATTAGAAAATAATTTAATCAAAATTGAAGCTAGGTTAGCCTAGCCGCTTCATACGCTGACCATTCAACAGCTTAGTCCATGCACAGCAGGAGAGGTGACATTTAAAAATAACCTAATAATAACTAATTAAACCGTGATTTCCCTTTTTTAGCCAAAAAGCCTGATAAACTATTGTTGTGCAATAAAATATAGCATTACTAACCGACAAGGTAACACGCATGGACAGTGCTTTTACATAATTTATTCATAGAAAGAGCAGCCAGAAAGGCGAAATTGATGAATTTGTGCCAAATATTAGCATCATTGACTCATAACAATGTACATTAGCTGTAACAGTCAGTGTGTTTGTGTGCTCTTTATCCAGTTTCTATTCTAATTTGTAGTTAAGTGGAGGAAATAAATAAATTGAAACGCAAATCAAAGTATAAATAGCAGAAGTGAACAGATAGATTTTCCTTACCAGCAAAATGTATATATATAAGTATATTGATCGCAAGTGGTCAGCTTGTGATCACATCGCGGTGTTGTTGTGTTGATATGTAATTTCAAATATTCGTAGCTTGAAACAGATGGATATATGACTGCTATTAGTATGACTACTATGGTGAGGGCTTAAACAGAGCAGTGCTCATAATATCGAGCGTAAAAAATAAAAAATAAAAGACCGCTGGGAAACATAACCTGCTTTGCATTTTTGTAGAAAACACAGTTTAGATCTGTTTTGGGGTAAGAGGCGTGTGAGTTATTGCCGTCAGTCTATACCTCAGAAATATTCAAGAATATTAAAACAAAACCAACTTAACTTCGCTCCTTTAGCACCCCTCACAGAGCTTCATTTATGCTTGCATTTCTCTTCCTGGGTTTTAGGTTTTGAAAAGGGCAAAAATTCCACCATCCCGTCCAAACGTTAAAAATACCAGTGTCAGATTTGCGCAATTCAAATGCACAACGCTTTGGCTTGTTTACCTCGCTCGAAAGCTTGACAGAGCCCCGGCGCCTAGCTATGTTTGCTAAGCAACGATTGGTGGGTGGTGGTTTTGGGTGTGGCTTAGCGAAGGGTCAATTAAATGGTGTGAAAACACAGTTTTATGTGATCAAAACAAAAAACAGCGAAAGTACATTTGAATGTACCCACATCATTTGCAAAAATGCTGATATTGATCTATAAAAAAATACTGTATTATTTACATCGCCATACACTTCAATCTATTATTCCTAAAATATAACCATGAATTTAGGACTTGTTTTGTGGTCCATTTTAAAAATAAATATGAAAAAGTGTATATACATGAGATAACAACCATTTTAAAACAATGTTAAATTTAAAATAATAAAATAAAAGAATAAAGAAATACTAATAAAGGTTTTTAAAGGGACAGTTACCACATCATGTTTGCCTTATTAATACATGGATATGAAGATTTATCAAAAAATTCGCTCAGTTTATTTTAAGAGGGTTATTTTAATAATTTCAGCTACCTTTTTGGTCACACTTTATTTAATTGAATTTAAGTTATATTCCATCTACATGCCAACTAATTCTCATTAGATTATAAGTAGACTGTTAGGTTGGGGTTTGGGTTAGTGTAAGTGGACATGTACTTGCAGAGTTTCTTATAGTCAGTTAAATGTCTGTTGAAGGAGCAGTATCAGCAGATATTAAGCAGACAGTTCACTTATACTCAAATGGACAATCAAAATAAAGGGCTGTATTTTGACGATCCATGTGCAAAGTCCAAAGCTCAGGGTGCAAACACATTAAGGGCGTGTCCGAATCCACTTTTGCTATTTTAAGGACGGAAAAATCCTCTTTGTGCTGCATGGTCTAACAGGGTTGAGCTTATTCTCTTAATGAGTAATAGGTGTGTTTTGAGAATAAACCAATCAGAGTCTCATCTCCCACCCCCTTTAAGAGCCAGTTGCACCGTGCCATAGCGCATTTGCTATTTACATGGCTGACTTTGTAAGTGGAAAAACTGAGCATTTCACTCGACAGAAAACTTTATCTACTTTCACTTTCGCTCTCGTGGATAGGGAAAAACTATTTAACTATTTAAACTATTTCAAAACTATTTCTACATTCTGCTCTAATTTCCAGCAAATGAATAAATGATTAAAAATAACGAAGTGTGGTTAAAAAACTGAGTTATATCCTAATACACATGGTACGCCCCATATGGTCTAAAACCTGACAGGTGGACAAATCTAAGCTTGTTTTTAATAAAACAAATATAAATATGCATATAATAAATAATACAGCTAATAATAATAACATTATACAAAAGCAAATTGTCATGAATAAACTGAAAAAGCCCCCCGAGATGAAGAAGGCATGAAGGGGGTGGTTTTTATATTAATGTAGGTTAGAAAATAATATATTTTTTAATATTTTAATCCTTTAATTCTTTTTCATTTGTAAAGATATTTGCGTATTGCTGTACAACCTGTGTGTATTAAGCAATGTGTAAGCGAGGCACACAACTAACGCGCTCTGCGCTGGACAATAGACCAGCTTTGATCTGATCTATTGAACCGTCTATTTAAGTTCCTCAAAATAGCAACGCGCCAGCAATGCACCTCAACATGCCTTCTTTTTTAGACCACATCGCCTATGGGCGCAAATGCATTTGTTATTTAAACAGCGTGGCGCAAAACGTTAAAACGACTCTTGCACCGAGCTGAAACTAGCAAACAACAATTGCATTGTGTCTTGCTCTGCATTGCGCCGGGTGCGTGATAGGGCCCAACGTGTTGCCACATTTTTGTCTTATGAACTTTATGTTCACATATTTTATGTAACATATCTTACTCAGGAGTCAAGACAGTACTAAACAAAAAATAACATGCTATTTGAATGATCTCTTTAAAATTATTATTATTTTCAATGAGTCTGCAAGGACTTCACAAACTTTCAATTTGGCACTATAAAATATTGACAAGTATTTGTGCACTAAATAGACAGTTTCCAGAAAAACAACTTAGGACAAGAATGTCAAAGCTTTAACAAAGTTTCCATGTTTTCTCAGTCTGTAAGTGTCTGAATGATTTACCTCAATGAGTTTTTTAAGTGGTGTGCCTTCGCATCGGATGCTGACTTTCCAGTTTTTGCTTCTTTCCTTCCCTGCAAACTTCTCAAATTCACCTGGGGAGAACCAGCGTCCCTGAGCAAATAAACACTTCTCCCCTATAAGAGAAACGGACAGCATGCACAATTACAGGCCCATTAAAAGTATGATAAATACATATACTGTTTTCAAATTTGTAAAAATTAGAGCAAAAACACAGTGATGGCGAACCATTGGCCAGTTTATCCCGATGGAGAGTGCCTTCTGTGTTTCCACATTTTACAGGCAGCTCAGTCTTATATTTAGGAAACATCCAAATCTCCTGATTGTTGTCTGTCTTTACAGGAGATGCTAAGAAGGAGGGAGAAGGAGACACAGATTACTAAGCAAAGTTTGTTTCTATCACAAAAGGAAAAGAAATAATAAGACAATTGCAATTTTTAAATCACATAACTGAGATATTTTCCTTGCAATTCTAAGATTAAAAATAAGAATCGTAAGATAAAAACTCATCATTGCTTTATTCATTCATTTATTTTCTTTTTGGCTATTAACCTTTATCAATCTGGGATTGCCACAGCGGAATGAACCGCCAACTTATCAAGTATATGTTTTACGCAGCGGATGTCCTTCCAGCTGCAACTCATCTCTGGGAAACATCCATTCACACTTATACACTGCAAATAATTTAGCCTACCTAATTCACCTGTACCGCATGTCTTTGGACTGTGGGGTAAACTGGCGCACCTGGGGGAAACCCACGCGAATGCAGGAAGAACTTGCAAACTCCACACAGAAATGCCAACTGACCCAGCTGAGGCTCAAACTAGCGACCTTCTTGCTATGTGGCGACAGCACTACCTACTGTGCCATCGCGTCGCTATCATTGCTTTATATAATCGCAAAATCAAACATTCATTTGCACTTCTGCCAAAGAGTAAAAAATGATTTAAAAAATAATTGTGATACTCTTAAATTAGAAAGCTTATATGTTCCAATTTTGACTTTTCATCAAGCACAAGCAAACCCAGAGAACTCTTGGACCTCAGAGACTCACAGAATGAAGATTTCTTGGCTTTTTTTTTCGGAGTCACGTTGGAAGCAGAAGAAGTACCCGGATCATCACTATCCTCACTATATACGCCATCTTTACTTTTCTTTCTGGTGTCTTTCTTTTCCTTCCCTTTGTTCACTGCTCCTTTACTCTCTTTTGTCAGCATCTCAGCATCTAGAGGTCCTTCTTTGCAATTGGTGATTAGATCAAAGAAAAAAAAAAGAACACACAGTGTAAAAAATCTTGATCCATCATGTTGTAAAAATGCAATATCAGCCCCTATGATTTCATAATAATCAAAAGTGATCAGTAACCAGCATCTGACAGGATGTCCATGAGCAGGCGTAGAATGCACACAGTGCCAGAAACGACGAATGTCCTGAGATCTCTCTTTCCCCAGCCAGTCCAAAACCTCAGACTCCTTTCTGCTTCTGCTCTCGAGTGTGCAACGCATTCACCTTCTACAGACAGAAGAGAAATGAAAGGGTGGTCAGGTATTATGAAGACCTTACAATAACATTTCTGCACAAGAGTAAACTAATGGTATAATATTTATAGAATATTTTTTCAAAGTTTAGTCTTGTGATTATTATTTGAATGTATTTTAAAATGTAATGTACTCCTGTGATGCAAAATATCATTTTTCTAGTATATCGGTGTTGCATGATCCTTCAGAAATCATACTAATATTATAATTATTATTATTAGCTAATCCAAAAACATTCTTATTATTATCAATGTTGAAAACAGGCGTACTTACAGGTGTTTAACTTTTTGTTAAAACCCTGAGGCCTGACTCTTTGATGAATTGACAGTTCAATTTAAATCATATCTCACAGCTTTCTTTCAAATCAGAAATATCACTAAGCTAATAAACATCTTTCTATTTCAGGTGCAGAAATGCTACTTCATAATTTTATGACCTCTAGACTGGATTACTGTAAAGCTCTTTTTGCCGGTTGCCCATCATCCTCTATTAATAAGCCTCAGCTAGAACAAAATGCAGCTGCCAGAATCATAACCAGGTCAACATAATATTAGCATATCACCTGAATTTTGTCCTCCTTACACTGGCTGTCTGTTAAGTTCCCTATTAGGGCTGTTCTAATCTCTAACAGCAAGCAATTCCACCGCCGTGGACATGCTACTGCAAAAACTCAATCCCCTCCTTAAAGTCTACATGAACCGGAAGCTGCAACCATTTTTTATTCATATTGACACGCAGTTCATAGAGAAACGGAATATTACATGAGAAAACAGTGGGCGTGGCTTGTTTTTTCTACTGTGAGCTGAATGGATGTAGTGATGTACAGTAGGCATTTCATTCAGAAATGTCGGAAAAGGGTTTTGGGAAAGTTATTACATTGAAATAGACACCTCCTTCTCATCATTTTTGTTTGTTGTCAAAACTGACAGCAGAAGCAGCATGGTTAAATTTGCTAACCTCCTAAGACATACATGATCTGACAACTGAACTGAAAAAAATATACAGAAAGTGCATTTTCAGATTCAATTAAAGATTACAAGGGCAAACAATTTTTCTTAATGACGTGCACAGATGAATTGTTCACCACAAAACAAGCAAGGTGAGCTAACAAAATCACATGGTTAGTTTTCAATTGTTTTACTGTAATGTGCACGTTTATGTAAAGCTGCTTTGGAAACGTTAATTATTTGGGAAAGTGCTATACGAATAAGCTTGAACTGAACTAAAAATGTAAGTATCTTTTGTATCTTTTTTACATTATAGATTTTTTTTATCTTAAAAAAAGTATTGCACTAAATGTAGGCTATCTATCATAAATTTACACTCAGAAAATGATCAAAATAACATTGTTGTTGTAATGGTCTGGATAGCATGCCTCAGTATGTTGTACAGTACATTTGCTGTGTGTTGTTTTTAAATATGTTTATAGTGTATTTCGCACAGGCTACTACTCAAAACATTGCAGCTAACGTTTGTGGTATAGTGCATGTTAAAAAACGGTAATGGTAATCGGTCCAAAATCATGGTTACTACATTTGTGTGAGGGAGTGTGTACCTGCCTGGAAAAGCGTCTCCGGCAACAGGTTGTGGTCTCTCAGTTGTGTCAGGAATATGTTTGGTTGTTCAATGCACGAAATATCCTTCTTCCTCTGGTTGAAGAAAGACAGCAACTGCTCATCTGTTAGCAACTCAATTTGGCAGTTCACTTCCATGAATTCAAAGATATAGAACATAATGAGTTATAAACAATCATTTCAAACAACTTTACAACAGCACAAAGAATGCTTAATCGTCTAAAAGCATTGCTGAAATATGCACACAAATACATAGCCGACTGTAACTGTAATGCTTGCTAGTATTAAAAGCATTATTTATCATACCTGTCAATGACCAAGCAAAATGGAGGATTTTGTATATTTTAGGCTTGACAAGAACCGAATAGACAGTTATTATCGTTTCCAAATCTCCCGCTTCAATTGAGAAGATCTCGCTCATACTGCGACAGTTCGCGGAAGTGATGAATCGAAAGTGAATATGACCGGTTTCAAAATGAAGTAGGACGTAAAGTTTGATTCAATTCAGCTAGTAGAGAACTGTCTTTGCCTCCAAATTACATATATATATGTTTGTATACTTCACATAGTGCATGTTTTAGCATATTACTTTATGCATAAAAACGTTTTTGTAGGTTTAAAAAAAAAACTTTTCTACTAGCAGATGCACAATTCGTTTCCACAAATTAGGCTACCATGTTTTGTCCCAGTGATGGATTGCAGCTGGAAGGGCATTCGCTGTGTAAAACATGCTGGATAAGTTGGCGGTTCTTTCCGCTGTGGCGACCACAGATTAATAAAGAGACTTAAGTACAAAAAAAGAAAATGAATGAATGAAATTACCTTATTGCTCAACTTTTTACATTCTGAAGAATGCTTTAAAAGTAGATATGTAAACACAAGTCTAAACATGACATAGTAACAGCAGTAGTCTATATTGTATTTGTTCACTTTGACTGTAAACATTGCATATTTCATAGAGAAAAATATGGACCAACACTCACCAGTCACTTTGTTAGGTACACCAACTAGTACAGGGTTGGACCTCCTTTTGCCTTAAGAACTGCCTTAAACCTTCTTGGCAGAGTCAACAAGGTACAGGAAATATTTATACTGGAGATTTTTGTTCCATATTAACATGGTAGCATCACACAGTCGCAGCAGATTTGTAGGCTGCACAACCTCAACCCATTCCACCACATTCCAAAGGTGCTCTATTGGATTGAGTTCTGGTGACTGTGGAGGCCATTTGAATACAGTGAACTCATTGTCATGTTTAAGAAACTAGTCTGACATGATTCACGCTTTATGAGATATAAATAGCCATCAGAAGATGATGCTCAGTTGGTACTAATGGGCCCAAACAAAGTGTGCCAAGAAAATATCCCCCACACATAACACTACCACCACCACCAGCCTAAACAGTTAATACAAGGCAGGAAGGATCCATGCTTTCATGTTGTTGATGCCAAATTCTGACCCTACCATCCGAAAGTTGCAGCAGAAATCAAGACTCATCAGACCAGGTAACGTTCTTCCAATCTTCTATTGTCCAATTTTAGTGAGCCTGTGTGAATTGTAGTCCCAGTTTGCTGCTCTTAGCTGACAGGAGTGGCACCCGGTGTGGTCTTCTGCTGTTGTAGCCCATCCACCTAAAGGTTCGACATGTTGTGAGTTCAGATATGCTCTTTTGCTTACCTCGGTTGTAACTGCTTTCTACCAGCTGGAATCAGTTTGGCCATTGTCCTCTGACCTCTGGCATCAACATGACATTTGAGCCCACAGAACTTCCACTCACAGGATATTTTCTTTTTCAAAACTTTCTCTAGAGATGGTTGTGTCTATCTAATCAAACATTTGAAGTGCTTGAGAGTTCCCATTGTTTTGCAAAAATAAACAAAAAATAAAATACAAAGAACCAACACAATGAAGTGACAGAACAAACTACTATAATCAATTAAATTCTCAATATTTTACCATAAAAGAAATGTTTATTTATAAAACAATCTAAATGATTAAAAAACATCATAATTTTGCAACATTAAAAATCCATTAAGAATCAAGTATTAAAAGGTGAATAATGAATAATGAGCTGAATAACAACATTGCTGCTTATTGTAGAACTGCCAATTACTGATCTAAACTAACTTAAATTACATAATAAAACTCCAGTTTCTCCATGGTTTAGTTTTTATTTCTTTAATCTGCTTTGTGCATTGTATTATAAAGTGCTATAAATAAGTGACTGGACTTAACGTTTAATCGACTGATCCACTCTCTTCTATTAACCCAAATAAAAAGTGTTTTTAAAAGCAAACCAAAAAAGAAAAGCACATAGTGGCCGCATACTTTTAGCAAGATTGCACATTGCTTTGTTTTAACCTGCTTTTTGAATCCGTTGTTTGCTCAACTCATACCTGGTTTGCTCCACGTCCCAAGCATGATGTACAAGGCAAGCTACCAAGCAAACTGACCTGACTAGAAAAGTTTTCCATATGGAGATAGCCGGGCGATTACAGACCTATCTAAGTAGTTTTTATGATATTTATTTGTTGGACAATTATTTTATTAACATAATATTAAATAATATTTAATTATTTATTCCCAGTTGTGCAAAAATGTAACCGAGGGCTTGTATTTCCAATGAGCCAGGGTTCCAAAAAGTAGTGCATTTTGAGCTACAGTATATGAATAAAAATTTTAGGTGCTTATAATATAAGTTTCACTATGATTTTTTACCCAAATAGTTTTCAAATTGGTGACTTGTAACATTTTCAGGTACTCTTTACACCTCACTTACTTTAAACTAGGATAAACTGAAAAATTTAAAGCTACTTAAAGCTCCACTTATTTGAAAAATTTGGAAAAAGATGGCTGTTATTGGATAAAGAAGATTTTCTGGATCTCCTCCTCAAAGATCTCCTTCAGTTTGGCACCCAATTGACCAAACTCATTGTCCTTCAGAGAGCAAGAGAGAGAAAAATACACAGCTGTCAAAACACTGAAGAATCATATTGATTATTCATAAACAAATAATAATGTTCATGTATAATCCAAAAGGTTTTTTGGTGTTGTATTTATTATGTCTCATGTGTTTTAATGAATCTTACCTTATTAAAGTTCTTGCAGTTGCTGAAAATGAGCCGAAAGTCAGAGACAAACTCTCCAAACTTCTGATACTTCTTACTTTCTAACTTTGACTTTATTCTGTCCAGCCACATTGGCTGAGAAATGAACTCAGAGTATCTGTCCACCTGGAGAGATATTAGTTTATTTTGACCAATTTCTTAGTTTATTTCAAAACTTTTTAATGTACATTTCATAAATCTAATGTTACACAGACAAATTTACTTTTCATTTTATGCTTGTTTATGACGACTGCAATCAAGTATCGTTTGCTCATTTTTAGGGATGTAACGATATTGTAAATACCGTCATACCGCAATATTAATTTTTTTCGATATTATCGAAGTCGCATGACTCGGTAAAACTGTAGGTCTTCTGAGAAAATTTGCTCAGGCGAATGAAGCGAACGGGACGTAGCTAAAACTACATTTCCCATCAGCCCAGGCGTGGCCATAATCCTTTGCGGTCTGTTGTCGCTACAGATCCAGTAATGCGGAAGTGTAGTGTGCTGCTAGTAGCGGAGATGAAAAAAAGATGGAAATGATCGAACCTAAAGCGGGTGTTGTCGCCGCGCGCGTGCTGAATAGCGGTGCTGTCGCGCGCGTTCTGATCAGCTGTGTTGTGGCGCGCGTATTGTAAAGCGCCGAGGGGGGGTTGAGCGCGCATATTCAAGAGAGGTGTTGTCGCGCGCCTACTGAAGGGCTGGATTGGACGGAGGTTGTGTCGCGTCGCGGGGGCACTTTTGATCGTTTTGGAAGGGCATTTTCTATCCAAGACTAAAAAGGGCATGTGCACTGCACAGGTTGAGCCCTATGTGTGCACGTGCCTGCAAGTTGGGGAATACGACTAATAACAGTCATGGGGACTGCAGAAACACAGCACACTGTTCAGATTGATGCAGACATTGACTTGTACCGCAAAGAGATCTCTATCTCACTCATGGTTTGTCTTCTCAAGTGGGGGAAAGACAATGCACAACGTTACCCACTGCTGTCAACATGGGCCAAGTCATATCTCTCTTGTCCCAGAAACCTCAGTCCCAAATGAGAGGGTTTTTTTCTGTTGCAGGGGACATTGTAAATACCCAGAGATACCAGCTTTTACCAGATTATAATTATATGATAATTTTCCTTTAAACCCATCTCTATCTAAGTGAGTGAGTGATTAAATGTTGAATGTGATGAGTTTTCAACAATACTAAATTGAAACTTTATTTTTTTACATGGTTTAATAATTTTTTGTTATTAAAATTGAAGTTAGTGTTTCAAAGCTTACAGATAGATGGCTAATTTGTATGTCATTGACACTTTTGGCACTTTTTTGGAGTATTTTCAAAAGTTTTTTTTTTCCTGTAAATGATTCAATAAATACCGTACCGTGACATTCATACCGAGGTATTACCGAACCGTGAAATTCTGATACCGTTACATCCCTACTCATTTTGTATAAAGATGGCCTTGTATGAGATTGTTTTAATGACAACTTGACAAAAAAGAAAATCACAACCTACGTATGTCTTTGTCATGACAACTTGACATTACCAAGACAACATCACTTGTCATAAATGTCAATAACATACTTCACATGTTGAGGCCCTTATAAGTAGGCCCACACGGAATCTGTGCGCACAAAAATCCGCAGATTTTTAGCCCATTATTATTTCTGTTTATTTACTTGTGTAGATGTGTGTAAATTCATATTTATGTTTTTAAACAAATTTCACTAATATTATTGACCAATTTGAATATATCCATATGATTTATTTAAAATACAGTTTGTAAAGTCATACTTTCTGTCTTTTAGTAGATATGTTATATGAGAGACTTGCTTTGTTTCCCAAATAAAGTGGATGTAATTGGATATGCATTGTAAACATTAAATAACAGTTGAAAAGGTATTCTTTTTTTAATTCATATGTTAACTTCTTAGTTATAATAGTTTTTAGTTTAACAAAAATTCTGTGCAGAAATAGCAAAAAATGTCCGCAGATTCTGTCTGGCCCTACTTATAAATCAGGAATCGTATAACAGTGCCATTAATTTTTTGAATCAAATATTGTTAAATATTAATTATGTTGTTTTAAAATTATTTAGCAGAGCAAAAGTAATCTGAGTGATCAACACTTATGACAATTGTTATGAGCATGCATTAAAATCATCTTCAAATTCTTGACGTATCAGCCGTAGTGTGCATTTCCAAATCACAATAAGTCAAGTCATTTTACCACAGGTGGACTTCACCTGATCATGGCAAACTGAATGCACTTGAGCTCAATTTTGAGCATAATGGCAATGGCAAATAGTTATATGCATGATTAGAATAATAATAATACAATTAATTAGTTTTTAAATTTCATTATAATGATAATAATGAATTTAATTCATTGAGAAATAAGGTTTTGACATAACAAACTGAGGAAAATTAAAGCATTTCAAATGCTATCAGGACGCACTGTATATGATTTGTTTATACTTAAAGTGCCCCTAGATGTTGACTTCTATTTTAATAGTTTTTTCTAATAAGGTTAGGTTCTGATTGGTTGACAATGATTCTTTCATCTGCTGAAAAAAAAAATTCAATAATATTGATCCAGTGATATTATTATTTTAGTGTATACCAGTTGTAGTGTGGACAGTCATTTTTTATCTTTAGAATCATACTTTAGAATTGTATGTTTGTAATTTTCATTCTTCATATTTAATTTTTATTCTGTTTATACACTACATTATTTGTTACTATTTCATTCAGTGATAATTATTTATTATTGTATTAAACACAACAGGGTAAACTCACATTTGGGCGTGGATCCTCTACAAACACCCTCTGGATATCCTCCTTGTACATACATAACAGCAGGTAGTGGCACTGCTACAGAAGACAAACAACACACACACAAAACATAAGGCTCATGAATGATATTCTCTTTCCAACCCATAGTACTATGAGGCATCATTTAAGGTTGTTGTAGCAGTGTGACTATCTAAAATATTTGAGTTATTGAGTGTGCGTGTTTACCAGTATATACTGAGAAACTGGAGAATCAAAAGCTTCCTGTTCAGTCATGTTACTGGATGCACGCCACTGTAGACTGGTTTTTAACACGCAAAAGGTGCAAATCCATTCCCTGTGTTAAAATACAGAAGGATGCATATACACATGTGCTTTGCAGTCCGAAGGATTTTATTTACTGAATCTGTTTCTCACTCACCCAGAGCCTTCAGGTACAGCTGGTAGGTGACAGTCTGAATGAAAAGCCCGTGGACATCCATCACAACACCTCAGATCTACCCCACAGTGACATGCGTAACACACATCATCGTTGTTCTGCTCCATCTTGTCAAAGAACATGAAACATAAGGGATAATATGCTTCCAAGTGATTGTTCTCGCAGAATGAAGAATAAAGAATAAAGGTTTATCAGCAGGGTGGTCTGTTGTATAGGGGCGTACTCACACTATGTACAGTTGCCTTGAACTGGGCCAAAGCACGCTTGTCCCCCCCTCCCGTCTCCCCCGACGACCCGCACTCACATTACATTTGGGCCTGTGCACGGTAACGTCATCGATGATACGCAGTTCAGTAAGAAGCGCACTCCCTTGGCACAGTGGAGATTTCTTTAGTTGTATTGTTTTAGTCGTTTGAAATGCAGTGATGCACAGTCAAATATTTTGCCGAACAGATCAGCCACTTTTGACGCTCATAAACAATCATAAAGCGCTCGTGCTGCAGGAGTTAGGAGGTTTGCTGAAGGTGCCGCTGTCGTGCAGTGAGGGGTTTGCATCTTTAATAATCTAGGGCAGTTTGTGCTCATTGAACAGTAATGATTAATAAATCCATATGAAACAGTTCCGTAAAAGTCTCGTCTTGTCTTCAGCTCAGGCTTAGGCACGCTTTGCACTCACACACAAGCATAAGGCGCCAAAGCCCAAGTGAACCGTGTCTGAGCCCGATTCAGAGAACTCACACTTCTCAATCGATACGGGAAACGGGCCTGGGCACGGTTTGGATAGCATAGTGTGAGTACGCCCTAAAACTAAAGGCAACCAGCTGAATGTATATTATCCAGCTACTTTACACAAAGCTTAACAATCAGACAACAAACATTTAAGCTATAACAATTTTTTAACATTCAAATGAAGTAGTTCAACGTGAAGCAGATCGTAAGAAAAAAATCTTAAACAACTAGATACAACCTACACTATCCTACTTGTTTATTATAGTATTCGAAAGACACAAACATACACATACACACACATACATACATAACACACACAAACATATAGTTGAAGTCAGAATTATTAGCCCCCCTTTGAATTTTCTTCTTTTCTTTTCAAAAGGGTCACGAAACACCAAAACACATTTTTTGAGCTGTTGACAGTCGTATATGTGTCCCACACTGCTAAAAACACTATTAGGACACCTATATTTCACTAAAAAGGGTAAATTGTTTGTTTTTGCGTTATTTCAAGCAAATTTGTACTTCCTGTTTGAAACGAATTTTTGAAGCTGCGTCACGGTCATGACATAATAGCGTTGTATTCCAGCGTGCAGACTGGGCGTCTGTGCCAGAGTGAGTCTTATTACGTCTTACAGTGTGATGCATTAATGCATGAGTAAGGCTTGGTTCAAACCAATCAGCGTGCTCTATTGTGCAACTTCATTAATATTCATTACTGTCACCGTGTTTACACCACAGAGACGCCACGTTGTATTGGCAAAACAAGCGTGAAGTGTTGCTTTTAAAGTTTGCTGCCATTAAGTTTCGTTTTCATTTTCTCTCTGTGAGAGTTCAGCTGGATCACGTGTGGATTAACAGTGTACGCGACGCTCGACAACAATAACTTAAGTGTCTAAGGACGATTATTGTTTACGTGAGAGCTGTTCTCATCTGCAAACGCTGAGATCCGGATTCACTTGTAGTCTCCTCTTCATAAAGACGCGGCTCTAGTTGCTGGGGATTGTCCTGTCTCTACAGATTTGGTAAGTGAGCGACCAGTGCTCTGTTTATTCAGTTTGTTCGTATCGAACTAAGTTAACTATTGCACTGAGTGCAAACATGTTAGCACCGCATTTTGTGACCGGAATAACACACGCGGCTTTCTGACGCTACCTGCCGTGTGCATCTAAGTTTCCGGAAAATGCTGTGTTTTTTTTCTCTCATTCGACATGCGGTATCAAACATTGCATGAAAAATACACGCTTAGAGCAGATCCTTCAATCAAATATCTTGTTTGTCGCGAGGGGCATGAATGAATTCCCTGAATGAAAGAGCCAAACTGCAGTTAAAGTCCACCATTTAATAATTTGGCAAATAATTCGACTACAGATGTCCATGTAGGTTAAACACCATCACTTTCTCCTGTGTGTATTTTGACTGAAACTCCTGCGTGCCCAAATAGACACTCCCACACCCTCCCACTTTAGTTCCTCCGACACTCCCCCCTAAACAGAGCTGGACACGCCCACTTTTCTGACTTTTTCCAAAGTAGAGGTGTGAAAACACCCTGCTGAAACGAGGGGGTTTCATGGCCCTTTAAATATTTCCCAAATTATGTTTAACAGAGCAAAGGAAATTTTCACAGTATGTCTGATAATATTTTTTCTTCTGGAGAAACTCTTATTTGTTTTTTTTCAGCTAGAATAAAAGCAGTTTTCAATAAAAAAAACAAAAAAAAAAACATTTAAGGTCAAAATGATTAGCCCCTTTTAGCTATTTTTGTCCAATAGTCTACAGAACAAACCATCATTATACAATAACGTGCCTGGTTACCCAAACCTGCCTAATTAACCGAAATAACCAAGTTAAGCCTTTAAATGTCACTTTAAGCTGTATAGAAGTGTCTTGAAAAATATCTAGGTATTAATTACTGTCATCATGGCAAAGATAAAATAAATCAGCTATTAGAGATGAATTATTAAAACTATTATGTGTAGAAATGTGTTGAAAAAAAATCTTCCCTTTGTTAAACAGAAATTGGGGGAAAAAATAAACAGGGGGCTAATAAATCTGTCCTTAACTATAAGGGCTGTCAACGCTAACACGTTAATGTATGCAATTAATCTCCAAAGGTTAATGTGTTAATATTTTTAATACAATTAATTAACCACTTGATAAGGTTTGACCCCAGCTTCTTGTAGTCATTGCAGCCAAATCATTAGTTTAGGCTCCAAAATGGACCTCCAAGCAATATTATGGCTTTAAACCTAATAAAAAAGGCCAGATTAGATATAAATATGCAAAATCTGCAGCAGAAAGGTCCCTGTTATACGTGATCATACATCAAGTCTGTCAATCTTCAAATGGATTGTTGAAAGACGGTACTTGCTAACAAAATATAGGAAGATTGGCGAATGGATGAATGCAGAGCAGAAACGAGACTCCCACTGATATGCCCACCATAAAGACATTACATGTGACCAGAAAGTAAAAAAAAAAAGTCTTTTAAGGGCATTTATAAGGACAAATGTATTTTTTTCAAAACAATAAAGTGCACATTTACATTATTTATAACAAGCACTACCATATACATAAATAAAATAAGAAGAATAAATTTGATTTAATGCCACCTTTACTGTTTTGTTTGTTTGTTTGTTTAGAGAACGATAATTGGGGTGCACATAGATTATTATTCTATTTATTTATTTATTTATTCAATTTTAATAGCTATAATACTTTTTTTGGTATGGTTCTCAAAGGAGTACCTGGAGATGTTGCTTGATTCTCACATTGTTCATAGCCTACTGCCATCTTAATTTATAAATGCCTATGTATCCATCTATTTATCATGAATGTAAATGTAAAAGTTCAAATGAATAAAAAAGGGTCATTTTTAGCTAAAGTCATACATAATTATTAGTGGTTTCACTTTGTTTGATTTGATGTGGTATAAACAGGTTCCGTGTTGCCTTCTATTTGAATCACATTCAAATTAATTAAATCTGGTACACAAAAGCGTTTCTCTTTTACTGTACCTGGCTTGAATTTTTATTTTAATAGCACTACGTACTAATTATGTGAACTCCTGATGATAATAACCTCTCTGCATTGCATAATTAACACAACATTCTGCTGAATTAAACTTAATATTAATATAAACTTTATGATGACTAACTGCAAGATGAAGATGATTCTTACCAGGTCTTCTGGATCAGTGCTGCATTTCACACATTCACACAGAAGAGAATGAATCTGTAGGATCTTTTTCTGAAAGACCAACATTTGCAAGCATTATAATCATAATTTATATCTCTCTTGTCTTATTATACTGTATCATTATATACTTGTAATGTTCTCTCCCGCTTGTTACCTTGCATAAAAAGTTGAGAGTTTTTCCATGGCACAGTATATCTCTTTTCCAGAGTCCATCAGTGAGAGTTGGTTCCTCCTTTACAAATTCCTCCGGAGTGAACCAGCGTTCCTCAGTCCGTATACACTTCCCACGCCTCCCTGCAACATTAAATAAACATAATCTCCTCCTATTTAATACTCAAAACTACAACTGCATGCTCAGTTGTGTGTGTGCATTCAGTGCAGAAACACACCTGTGGCAAACCTGCCTTTGTACAGAGTCCCAGTGAGTGAAACGCAGGTGACTTGTAAAGTTGGAGCCTGGAAAACAGTCAGATCTGCCATCTCATCTTCCTCCTCCTCCTCCTCCTCATGAACTCTACTTCTAAACTGTGATCCTCCTCCTGAGCTCCTGCTCTCCTCCTGGAAGTCTTCAGCATCACTTTCCTCTTCTGAACTGGCGCTGGTTTCTGAATCTTGAAGAATAAAACACATAGCTGCACTCAGACAGACAGGAGAGATTGAGTGTGAATGAATGTGAATGATAGAGACTCGCTCTCACCTAGACTGGAGCTCTCCGATGAACTGATGCAACACAGCTCTGTCTTGTTCTGCAGGATTGAACATAGTGATTTGATGAAATTCCAGGGAAAAACACAACCTCATCATAGAGATAAAGACAAATTACTTTTTGGACACATTTCCTCTTTCTTCTCTCCATCGGAGGACACTGAAGATGATTCTCCTGAAAGAATGAGATAGGAAGTGATGTCAGATCATACACATAACAATAACTGCTGTTTTTAGTGTAGTTAGTCATGTAGTAATGTTAAAATCTCAGATGAACATCAACATAACATATTGCAGTGTCATTGATTGTTTAACTGAGAAAGAAAAGATTTAAAGTAACAATGTGTTAAAAGAGTCCAAGCCCAGACCTTGTTCTGAACGATGTAGTGAGAGTCGTGCAGAAACAAAATGACCACAAAAGACTTAATAAACTGAAAAAAAAAATTGTTTTCGCCAAAATTCTCCCGGATCGATGTGAGAGATTGATAAAGACACACAGAATAGGTATTACACCTGTTTAACAGCGCAAGCAGGGTGTGAGCATGGCGTGCGCTATGCGTATGGAGAGCTGAAGCAGCGATTTGTATCGGTATTGGTTCGTACTGAAGGCTGCAATATCAGTATCGTATCGGAAGTTAAAATGTTGTATCGGGACATCCCTAAACATGGACTCTAAAAAAAACACGTGCTGCTCACACTTGCGGTGCAAAAATATTTGTGCTCTTTTGGTTTTAAAGATATTAAGATATTTTTGTTAGGTCATTCAGCAGTCACGCAGACCCCCACATGCTTCACATTCACCCCAAATAGTCTTGCTGGTTTGGCCTTTGTTTGTGCTAGTTTGTGCCATTAAAAGTTCCATTTGTGCTGTTTCCGCTATTAAAATATTACACATTGAATTATGGGCGATGATGTCACCAGCCCCCCAACATACAGTTGAAGTGTGATATTGCTTATTAGTTGAAGAATTCGTAAATAATTTTTTTCCTATTTTAATATTTACCAAATGATGTTTAACACAGCAAGTAAATTTCACAATATTTTTTCTTCCGGAGATAGTCTGCTTTGTATTATTTCGGCAAAAATAAAAGCAGTTTTTAAGCAGCTGATGACGCCATTGCCCATAATAATCCATTAACGGAACTTTCACCAGCACAAATGAATGAGACTATGTGGGGTGAATTTAAAGCATGTGGGGGGCTGTGTGACCACATGTATATGTGTATATATATATATATATATATATATATATATATATATATATATATATATATATATATATATATATATATATATATACACAGTTGAAGTCAGAATTATTTACCCCCCTGAATTATTAGTGTCCCTATTTATTTTTTCCACAATTTCTGTTTAACAGAGGAAAGATTGTTTCAGCACATTTCTAAGCATAATAGTTTTAAAAACTTATTTCTATTAACTGATTTATTTTCTCTTTGTCATGATGACAGTAAATAATATTTTACTTGATATTTTTCAAGACACTTCTATACAGCTAAAAGTGACATTTAAAGGCTTCACTAGGTTAATAAGGTGAACTAGGCGGGTTAGGGTAATTAGGCAAGTTATTGTACAACGATGGTTTGTTCTAAAGATTATCGAAAAAAAAAATAGTTTAAAGGGGCTAATAATTTTGTCCCAAAAATGGTTTTAAAAAATGTAAAACTGCTTTTATTCTGGCTGAAATAAAACAATTAAGACTTTCTATAGAAGAAAAAATATTATCAGACATACTGTGAAAATTTCCTTGCTCTGTTAAAAATCATTTGGGAAAGAGAAAAAAAAAAATCAAAAGGGGGCTTATAATTCTGACTTCAACTGTATGTATGTATGTATGTATGTATGTATGTATGTATATATATATATATATATATATATATATATATATATATATATATTTTTTTTTTTTTTTTTTTATGTTAACAGACTGTATATTAAGGATATATATTGTTTAAAAAAAGGATATCAAGATATTCTCTCAGTGACATTTTAGAAATATACTTTTCTTTTAGATTTAAATATATATTACATTAAAGATTCTTTCTACACATTTATTGGGAAACTGCCTTTTAATATGGAGTAAAGATTGACTCAAAACAATAGAATGATCTTATACAACCCAATTTATAAATCTATATATTGTATAGACAGTATTTGTTTTTATCAAATCAGTTAAACAAACAAAAATCTAAACTACTAAATAGAAAGAAAATAAATAAAAAATTCCAGTAAACCGACCCAGGACAACATGTGAATCATTTAATAAAGATCACATGTTTTCTCAGTCTATGTGTCTGCACAATTTACCTCTATGAGTTTTTTAAGTGGTGTATTTCTGCAGCGGATGCTGACTTTCCAGTTTTTGGTCTTCTCCTTCCCTGCAAACTTCTCAAACTCAGATGGGGAAAACCAGCGTCCCTGAGCCAAAATACACTTCTCTCCTACAGAACAAACGGACAGCATGCTTTCAGACTAGTAGAGCAACAATACAGCTTGATAATGGTTGAGTTCATGTCATAATTTTAGGATCACGGTTTCGACATGGTTATGTATATGGTCAGTAAAAAAACAGCAGACTATCAGATAAAAAACAGATCTATCTACTAACAATAGCACAAATAAACACAATATAGCAAAGATGCTAAAATAAACAGTGCTTTTCAGGTACCTAACAGCAGTTTTCAGATACAGAAACTGAAGAATATAATCAAATATAACACTGCATACTGTATATAAACTTCAAATTAAATAAAGATTAAACATTATTTAAGTTACAACAGCTATTCAGTCATTTCATTATCTTCTGTTGTTTGATTAATAACAAAAACACAGACAACAGGAATAAGGTGTTTTCTGAAACTGCAAAGTTATGGGCAACACCGAATTTCTCTAAGGCAACACTGATTAAATTATCGTCAAGTGGGACATTTTTACATAATTATTTACAAATTAATTAATTACAACAGTTTGTATATGTGCCTCCTACTTGTTAAGGGTCCAAAATGAATTGGACAATTGGCTTCTCAGCTGTTCCATGGCCAGGCGCGTGTTATTCCCTCATTATCCCGGTTACAATGAGCAGATAAAAGGTCCAGAGTTCATTTCAAGTGGGCTATTTGCATTTGGAATCTGTTACTCTCAACTTTCAAGATGAGATCCAAAGAGTTGTTACTATCAGTCAAGCAAGCCATCATTAGGCTTAAAACACAAAACAAACCCATCCAAGAGATAGCTAAAACATCAGGTGTGGCCAAAACAATTGTTTGGAGCATTCTTAAAAAGAGAGACGCACCAATGAGATCAGCAACATCAAAAAGACCCAGAGGACCACATAAACAACTGTGGTGGACGACTAAAGAATTCTTTCCTTGGTGAAGAAAACACCCTTCACAACATTTGGCCAGATTAAGAACACTTTCCAGGAGGTAGATGTAAGTGTGTCAGAGTCAACAATCAAGAGAAGACTATACCAGAGTAAATACAGAGGGTTCACCACAAGATGTAAATCACTGATGAGCCTCAAAAACAGCAAGGCCAGATTAGAGTTCTTAAAAGCCTTTAAAGTGCTGGAACAACATCCTATGGATAGATGAGATCAAGATCTCAAAGATATTGAGCTTGCTGAAGACAAAACTGAAGAGAAAATGCCCTAAGAACAAGCAGGAACTGAAGACAGTTGCTGTAAAGGCCTGGCAGAGCACCACCAGGGATGAAATCTATGTGTTCCAGACTTCAGACTGTAATTGACTGCAAAGGATTTGTAACCAAGTATTAAAAAGTGAAAGTTTGATTAATGATTATTATTCTGTCCAATTACATTTGGACCCCTAACAAGTCAGAAGCATATAAGCAAACTGTTGTAATTCCTACAGCGTTTACCTGATTTGGATGTAAATACCCTTAAATTAAAGCTGACAGTTAAAGCACCCATGTTCATTTAATTCCAAACCCATTGTGTTGGTGTATAGAGCCAAACATGTTGGAATTGTGTCAATGTCTTTATGGACCTAACTGTATATGCATAATGAACTGCTGAGGTTTTACCGAATTATATGTATATGTAGTATTGTGACATCCTTAAAAAATAATGATAAATACACATTTTTATAAATGTTGTAGCAGCTAGAGCAAAAACAGAGTGATGGTGAACCTTTAGGCAGTTTGTCCCGATAGAGAGTGCCTTCTTTATCCCCACATTTTACAGGCAGCTGGGTTTTATAAATAGGAAACATCCAAATCTCCTGATTGTCTCCTTTCTTTACAGGAGATGCTGAAAAAGAGAGAGGAGGGAACACAGATTACAAAACAAAAGTTTTGTTTTTTTTTGTCACAGATTAAAATAAAAGCAATTGTGACCTTCAGGAACAGGACATTGAGCACCAGCAAACACAGAGAACTTTTGAGACATCCGAGACTCACAGAATGAAGGTTTCTTAGCTGGTTTCTTGCGAGTCGGAGTGGAAGCAGAAGACGGACCGGGATCACCACTATCCTCACTACTTTGGTCATCTCTAATTCTCTTTCTGGTGTTTTTCCTCGGCTTCTCTTTCTTCTCTGTTACTTCACTCTCTTTTGTCGGCGTCTCAGCATCTGCAGGTTCTTCTGAGAAACTAATGACTAGATCAAAGAAAAGAAAAAAAGCACAGAGTTAAAAAAATCTCAATCCAAAATGCAGTATGTGCCTCTATGATTTTATAACAATCAAATGCAGTGACCAGCATCTGGCAGGCTGTTTTTGAGCAGGCATAGAGTGGGGTATTTCTGCACGATATGATCTTTAAACACACAGCGCCAGAATCTATGCATGTGCTGAGATCTCTCTTTCTCCAGCCAGTCCAGAACCTCATAGACTCCTTTCTGCTTCTGATCTCGTTTGTGCATCTTTTTCACCTTCTGAAGACAAAAACAGAGAGGGAAATGTGCCCAGATGTTATTAAGTTCTTACAGTAACACAAGAATAAACTGATAGTAGCAGATACTAATATCATGGTTTTTCACAGCTTTGGGTAAGTTCAATTTTGGGAACATTTTCAAGTCTTTGATGCTCACCAAAGCTGCATTTATGACACAGGACAATACAGTAAGATTTTTCAGCTATTTCAGTTTACATTTTAATGTTTTAAAATTTCATTTACACATAATAGTCATATAATCCCTCAGAAATCATGCTAATACTCATACTTATGATTTGTTCCTCCACAAACATTTCTCATTAATATTAATGTTAAAAACACATGTGCTGTTGAATATTTTTGTTTAAATTATGAATTCAAAAGCATAGTATTATTGTGGTACATTGACGAAACACATGGTATTATTGTGATAATTCTCTTGTACATGTCCAAAATTATTGTATTAATAAGCCAAACACGGCAATGAAATCTTTCGGTATTGCCAGAAATAATAGAAATTACCATAATAACGATAAAAATGTAATGTAATGTAATGTAATGTAATGTAATGTAATGTGTATTTATATAGCGCATTTATTGTGTATTGCCATACACCCAAAGCGCTTCACAATCATGAGGGGGGTCTCTCTACACCACCACCAGTGTGCAGCATCCACTTGGATGATGCGATGGCAGCCACAGGACAACGGCGCCAGTGCGCTCACCACACACCAGCTATTGGTGGAGTGGAGGGACAGTGATAGAGCCAATTCGGTAGAGAGGGGATGATTGGGAGGCCATGATCTTAAGGGCCGATAGAGGGACTTTGGCCAGGACACCGGGGTTACACCCCTGCTCTTTCACGAGAAGTGCCTTGGGATTTTTAATGACCACAGAGAGTCAGGACCTCGGTTTAACGTCTCATCCGAAAGACGGCGCACACTGACAGTGTAGTGTCCCCTTCACTTTTACTGGGGCATTAGGACTCACACAGACCACAGGTTGAGCGCCCCCTGCTGGCCTCACTAACACCACTTCCAACAAAATCTATAGTGTAGTGCAAAAACATGGTAGTGCAACTGTAAAACTGCAAAAGCATAATGTTCAGAGTTCCCACTCTCTCATGGACACCAAACTCAAGAACTTTTTAAATCAGTAATATTTAAAAAGTTGTAATTTACATACCTCCAGCATATACAGCACCATTAAAGTTCTTCCTGTACTTAACATTTCACTCACCTAATACTTACGAATATTTAATATTTACATTAAAATGTCATGATGTTTTGAATGACACTATTAAAAATGTTTATGTTTTTAAACAACCGTTTTAAAGTCAAGTTCAAAGAAGTTTAATACAGTTAGTTGACTTTAATCCTGGCAATATTGATATGTGGTGTCTTAAATATTGATAAAATGTATTATTTGTCAGAGTTCATGTATAAGATTAAAATGAGCATTTTTAAATTAAGAATTTGTAAGTTTTTTTCGTTCAGCTTGTTAAAATAACACCATAAACTTTCAATTCAAGCACTGTCAAGACCCTGTGTTTGTTTTTAAATATTTTCCAAGCCTTTCTTGAATTCATAGGTTTGAAAATCAAGATCTTCTGATCGGGATCGGGTCTGCCATGGTGTCCCTCAGGTGTCGGTCTTAGGTCCCATACTTTTCAGCATTTATATGCTTCCACTGGGGCATATCATCAGCAAGTATGGACTGGGACACCACTTTTATGCTGATGATACCCAAGTTTATATCAGCTCTAGATCTGATCTGTCTGTAACTGCCTCAATCCTCTCAAAGTGTCTGCAGGAAATTTCTAAAATTGAATTGTTCTAAAACTTCCTTATTGGCACACCAGCAGACACTTTCAAAGATAGCGAGTTTAAATTAAATTTGGATAATGCTGGCATCTGTTCATCTACCAAAGCACATATCCTTGGTGTGATTTATGACACTCATCTGTCACTAGACTCGCACATCAAGAGCATTACAAAATCTGCTTTTCATCATCTGAGGAATACTGCAAAAATCAGATCTTACCTCACTCAACCTGAAAGACCCATGCATTTGTCACTTCCAGGATTGACTATTGTAACGCACTCTTTGTTGGTTTACCTGCTAAATTAATCAAACGGCGGCAGTATATACAAAACTCAGCAGCACACATTCACACACACACTCCACCACATCCCTGGTGTGCTTTATAGCTTGCATTGGCTCCCAGTTCAGTCCCGTATCAGTTTTAAAACACTCACACTTGCCTATAAACCTCTACATGGCACAGCTCCTTCCTATATCTGTGACATTGTCTCCAAGTACACACCTTCTTGTTCCCTGCTGTCTGCTGATACTCTCACCCTTCAACATCCACCCTGTAGATTAAAATCAATGGGGGAGAGAGCCTTCTCTGTTGCTGCACTCAGGTTATGGGATGCTCTTCCTGATTCTGTAAGAAATGCTTCCACACTAGCTTTAAGATGTTAAAAACTCATCTTTTTAAGCATTTTTAGATTCTTGATTATATGTATACTTGTATTTATTGCATGTTTGATTTTTCTGTTGTTGTAGTGCTTTGGGTTTTAGAAAAGCGCATTGTAAATAAAATGTATTATTATCTTTCAAGTAGCTTCAAGAAGCGTGGGAATCCTGAATATGATTATGGTTCATTGACTAAACCATTGTATTTTTTATAGTAGATGGCCTAAAGGAGCATGGTGTTCAAAACAGATTGATATGGCTTTTACATAATCAAAATATGGTATTGGAAAGATCTGTTAGTACAGCAGTAATATAAATTAATATAAAATAAAGAGTAACTCAATAAATGTACTCTACTTTCATGTACTGTTGTTGTAATTTTGCAAGGATATGTTTTAATAAAATGTTTCGTTTGTTCTTTATTCCTGTGGAAATGCCTAAATACACATTATTACTATGATGCCATATACACTAATATTGCCATGGTCAACATACAGTATTGATAAGATAACTATGGCAGTCAAATGTTTTATTAGTGCCAATTAAAGCCCAAATGTAATAGCATTGTATCATGCTAGAAAATGTTTACGAAAGTTACTGTTTTATTTTGGGGTGTATCTGTGTTTATAATGTGGGGTTTTAAGGGGCTAGATTTTGGGAAAAAGAAAGTCTGCGCACTCGAGACGGGTATGTTTTTTTTTGTGCAAGAGAGTTGCTACTCTCCAGCGAGCAAAAGAATTACTCTGTAACGTGCAAAAGTTCAGTTCATTTCTTTCGTTTCTTTCCTATTTTGCTGTGGCTAAGTTTTCTGGGTTTGCTGGTGCTTGATGAAATCAAAAGTGGAAAACATTTCTTCATTGATTCCCTTTCCTTCGGCTTAGTCCCTTTATTAATCAGAGGTCACCACAGCGGAATGAACCGCTAACTCATTCAGCATATGTTTTACACAGCGAATGCCCTTCCAGCTGCAACCCAGTACTGGGAAGCTGTGGCTGACTGTCCAAATAATTTTACTATGGTACCATTTTAAAACAAGCACTTGTATTTTAATTTAACATGATAAAATATATGGTATTAATAAGGTAACAATAACAGGGTTGTGTTAGTGTCAGCAATAATGTTAATTCATATTAAAAAAGGTTAATTAACTAACGTATTTAACAAAGCCATCGATTTACAACAGACAAAACAAAAACAAATGTACTATTATACAGTTTGACCAAGGCATAGTAATAATAGCATTCTGTGGCTATACAAATTGTAATACAGCAGTCAGAAATTATGGTTACTTAACGTGCACTATGATAAAACAATGCTAATTTTCATAAGGGGTCCAAAGTGTGTGTGTGAGGGTGGGCGTGTTCCTACCTCAAAGAGCGGCTCCGGCAACAGGTCGTAGTCTCTCAGCTGTGTGAGGAAAATGTGCGGTTGCTCAATGCACGAAATCTCCGTCTTTTTGCGGCGGAAAAATGACAACAGCTGTTGATTCGTTAGAAAATCCAACTCCATTTGGTCGATGACTCCCATGAATTCAACGATCTGATATACGACATGAAATCATTTAAATAACTTTGCGTGCGGCATGAAGATACACCTACAGCACACCAGATACAGTTCTGCATGACATGCATTATTACGAAGCCTTGTGCAACACATCGCCATGAAGAATAGGGAGAAAGTTGAACTATACAGAGGTCTAAAAGCAACATTTGCTTATTTAACTCGTACGTACCTGTTAAAGTTTGAGCTGTATGGGGGATTTGTGTACTTTTGGCTTGACAAAAGCCGTGCAGAATCAGTTGTTGTTGTTTCCAAATCTCCCGCCTGAATGAAGCAAATCTTACTCATACGGGATAGTTCGCGGGAAGTGATGAAACGAAAGCGAAAGTTAACCCTTAGACTAAGTCATGCTAATCGAATTTGATAAAAACTACAGAATGCTTATTTTAGCATTTAAACTTTTGTATTAAAACGACTTTAGGTAAAAACTACTGGTAAAATCAAAAGTAGGATATAAAGCTGCATGACCATTAAAGCTAGTGCTTCTTTGTTCCACCAGAGGGCGCGAATTATCCATTGAAAATATTAAGACATGCCAGCAAAACCTGAATCTATACGCCAGATGGTAAAACAGCAGTACATACAGTGAATCTGTTGAAACTTTTACTATTAACGTTGTAAATTATAAAGAGTATTTAAACTTATATCATGTTTGCAGTCAAAATATTGTAATAATGAAGCTATAAAGAAAAAAAACATGGCAACAACAATAACTGGAAAGTAATTACTGGTTTTTAAGTTATCGTTATAAAACAGATGCCCAAACTAGGGCCAGCGGGCCAAAGTTTGCCCATGGTAACCTTTGATTTAGCCCACCATTCCATCTGAGAAGAGAGTAAGAGATCAGAGATCATCATTTCTAATTTAAACTTTTTTTTAAAGCTAACTGGAAATAAATGTTTTAATTCAATGTTGCGAATGAATCAGTTATTTTAAAAATGTGTAAATACTGTCACTCAATGCATAAAGGACAATACAGATGACATCGGTGAGCAAATGAAGGCAAAAACAGGTGCCCCTTGACTAGTGTAAATTAGATAGTGGTGACAGCAAAAGTCAGACAAAATACCTAGAAATATTAGGGCGAGGTTGATTGATCAATGAGGCATCAGTAGCAATCCCAAGAAAAATATGGCACAGTTAATGATGTTATATAAGAGTATAATTGTTGATGTTTTTTGAGATTGTAGATTGGAGGACCACGTTTTCCATCTATCTTTAACCAAACACACCTGATTTGGATCTTCAGCTCATTATGCAGAAACTGAAAGACCTGTAGTGGCTGTGACAGACAAAGGAGACATCCAAAACATGAAGTGTCAGTGGTTCTCCAGGAACGTGGTTGAGAAACACTGCACGAAAGCATTTGGTATTAAGATTGCACCTAAAAGATTTCATTTTAACAACAAATTTTCCTTTATACTCTGAACAAAGAATGGCAATTTTACAGAGTGAACTATGAGAATGACAATTAAAAATATTAAAAACTGAAGCCGAAAACATTTCAGCTTCTCTGAGTCACCACAAGTCCCTATGGAACAGCATGTTTGATGGTGTTGAAGGGATAGTTTACGCACCCTCATCCTTGCTGAGAGACATTTTCTTTCTGCTAACATAAAACAAGGATTTTTGAAATGTTGTATGCAAAAGACTTCAAATCACTTCCTCATGAGGTTTGCTTCACTGGAAACAAAAAAAAATATTCAAGGCATTCTCACGACATTTCATCTCTATTTTATGTTGACGAATGGTGTCTAATTCTAAAAAACATACTTCACAACAAAGCACACTTATGAAATCTCCATCTCATATACTTTTGTGATTGTAATGGGTCTCTACAGATGTGAAGATATATCCTTCTCTTTTCTTTATCCTTCATGGCTCAAATCACTAGATTCACTAAGTGAATTATGAGAGTTTTTAATGTATTTTTTTACAATTATGTTTGTTGCTGAATGTTTAAACGCAAACTGATTTGGTAAAACCAACACTATTGCTGCTGTTTGTTCTGGCCAACAATCACAATGGGATGACACTAAATGTTGGCATAAATGGGACATAAATCCCTGAGTTTTTTTCAATGTACAACCACTTTTAGATGTAGCTAAAATGCATTGAATTGTTTCCATAGTGCACTCTCAGAAATAAAGGTATGTGAGCTGTAAATGGGGTGGTACCTTTTCAAAAGGTACACATTTGTATTTAAAGGCTCCATATTGGTCATGAGGCATTAATATGGACCTTTTAGATACAAATTTGTAACTTTTGAAAAGGTACCACCTCAGTGACAACTCTTGTACCTTTATTTCTGAGTGTGTAAATGCTCAAGTCAGCCTTCATGAAAACAGTAATTTTAGGATCTGCACTTGAGATAATGGGGTGCCTCAGGGCTCTGTTTTTGGACAGGTCTCAGCATGGGGAAAGAGGTGGTTCTTTTTTACCCAAAATCGTCCCCCTTTTGTCATTTATTAGGCAAATAACAACCTGGCCAGCGCATTCAACTTTGCGCCAAGTCAGAATTTATCCATTTGAATAATAAAAATAAAACATAATAGTAATAAAAATATTATTAATGTAGAGCTTTAGCCAAAATAGCATTTAAATACATTTTAATATGGGCTGCCTTTGGTGCTTCACACCTTTTTATTGTTCATTTTTTGTTTAGAAAAAATACAGTAGTGAAAGATGACTTCTCTGATGTCAGATTGTATGTTTGCTTGAACAGCTGGATGTCGGACTCAAGAAAAATAATTGTTTGCATGGGTCAAAACAGATTATTTAGTGACAGCCAAGGATTCCACTTGGTCTTAAAGCCTTTTTCAATGGGTTATTTTTTACAATTTATAATGGCATATTTAAACGAAGGAAAATGAGCTCATGTGAAAGAAATTTTGGACTTTCTGCAAGCTTTCAAACCTCTGCAACTGATCCAGAATACAGCAGCGATGATGGTAAATGATCCAAAAAGACTGCGCACAAGACTTGTACACCTTCGTTTATTAGTTTGCACTACAGTAGTCAACATTTGAATTAACGTAACACTTAAGTTCAGGTCACAATTCATACTGGCCTATTACCTGTCTATTATTAAGATATTAACTTTTCATTTGTATTTATAAAGTATTATCTTATTCTGCATCCCTAATCCTGCCTAAAACCCAAACTTAACGTCTAGCGTACTAACTATTAATAAACAGGTATTAAACTAGTAGTGTTAGTTAATGTTTTGTTAATACCATTAATTGTGACCTAAACTAAAGTGTTATTAAAGTAGATCAAAACCTTTCATTGAAGTTGTCCTAAAATTAACGAACAACACCCATTCTTGACTTCAAATGTTGACTACTGTAGTTGCCAATAGTCACTCATATCAAATTAAATGCACTTTAAACATCCACTGGCTCTCCTTTCCTTTACCTGAATTCACTACTTTACCTCATGTGCCCTCGGCAAGCTTGCATTCTAAAAGTGAACTGCACATTGTGATGACATGCCAAATCAGAAAATCACTTTCAATGACTGTCATCTTTACTGCTCACCACCAATGAAATCACTTGCCTAATTTGACCCCTTTGAATTTTCTATTGTACACATTTGTAGATCTCTTTTGATAAAAGCATCTGTCTAACGATTAAATGTACAATATTAGTGTTATAAAGATTTACATGTCTTCTGTAGTGACAAGATAGAGCAAAATCTGAGAAAAATCTGAGCAACAAGCTTATAGTCTTTATTTGCATACACTAATCAAGTGAATAAGGTTTAGATTTCATCATGACAAGCATCTTCATTTGCTCGGCTAGAGCATTTACCTGTTTAGTTACCTACTAAAATCATCCTGTCACCAGTTTAAAATTCAAGAAATTTCGATATCTAAGCACATTGAAACATCAGACAGTGACTGGAGACAGATCTGACAGCTCAGTGTGTGGGCTTTATAAATGTCACAAAATGTGCAAACAAACACATTCTGGAATTATGTATATGCACCTGCTAATGAAACCCTTCATTGTTGGCAGGTGCTGCTGTGTTCTCTTCCTATTTTAGTATTTATGTATATATATTTATTCATTTATTTGCGCACTTGTGTCTTATGTAATTCCCATGTGCACTATAATAACTCTTCTAAAGCCAAGAGAATCTTGCAAGTTCTCTTCAAGACATTATATCACCGTTTTTGGTTTCTTACTTCTTAAATACTTTTACTTTTAGTTGACAACGACTCATTAAATTTGCCAAATTGCATTAAAAAGAACAGCATTTCACATAAATGCTGTTCTTTGGAACTTTCCTAGACTCCTCAAAAAAAAAAAAAAACTGTTTTCATGATTTGCTTTCAAAGCAGAACAAGAAATATATAAAAAGAAATTTGAATAAATATAGAATTTGAGCAGAATCTTTGTCTATAGACCATTTCAATGTGGTGATGTTATTAGGCCATAAACAATTCCTGCTTGTTTTTAAACTATTTTAGAACTTTAACATGAGGAAATTCAATCATAACTTAATGTTGATAACTTTATTTATCATTATGTGGTTCTTTTTTGAATTCTCAGAAGCTATAGAACTAAAACAGAACTGGAAATAACAGAATAAACAGAAAATAAGTTGGGACCATTGTTTTGTTTACATCCCTCAAAATGGTCTATTAGAAAGTTTCAGAATGCTAAAATTATTCATAATTGATATAATAGCAATCTTGCCTTTAAATTTTATTTTGTACATTTATTTTGCATGTTTAAATTCTTTCCAAAATATCAAACGTTTTTTTTTTAAATAGCATTAAATCAGTTTACAAAAAAATACTTTAATTTGAGCTTTTTCATTGCACAACTTATACAGTAACATCACTTTGGTACAGTAAGGTATGTGTTGTGAAAAAGAAATATATATTTTTATTTTTGTCTCTTTTTTGTCCATTAAATAATTGTATTTGTATTGCTTATAGGTGATATATTAACTAAACTTCTACTGTTGAATGTGATATGCTTTGCATACTAATAAAGCATTTTTACAAAAGTAGATGAAGCTGATAGAAATGCAAAGGCCTGATTGCCTAAAATTGCTTGGGTTGAAACTGAAAACAATATATGCAGTTGAGAAAGTCTTATGCTTTTAATGTTGTGCAGAGAATTTGTAGAAGAAGAGGATGTATGTATGGGTGCGGCCAATGGAGAACTGGAGAATGATTGACAAGTGACAAATTCCACTAAACTCCACCTGTTAATATCAGCTGCCTATAAAAGTTGAAGTCAGGAAATGAAAGTTGTTGTGCACCTCCTGAATGTAACCATTGGGAATAACAGAATTCTGTGAAGCAAAATATTAATTTGTATCCAAAAAATGACTACGATTTTTGACATTGAAGAACACCCTCTCCTGACCATTTTTATTAAACACGCATGGAATTGAATAGATATTCCAACATAAGAAATGAGGAAATGCTGTTTTTCTTTTTACATGTAATAAAAAAAATCATAAATTCTAATCCAGAGATGTCAGATGCATCTCAAAGAAAAGCGATTCATCAAAGGAACAAGCTTGACATCA